AGAAGAAAATTCGAAGGGTTTTATTACTACTTTATATTAATAAGATTTAATTCTATTATTAATATTTAATTCTATTATTAATATTTAATTCTATTATTAATATTTAATTCTATTATTAATATTTAATTCTATTATTAATATTTAATTCTATTATTAATATTTAATTTCTTTAGAAAAGGCTTTTTATATATTCTTATATTAATTAGCTAGTAAACTATAATAAAAGAACCTCTGTCTTACTTTTAATATATTCCGAAGTGCCCTTTATTTAATTTTCTAAGACGTTCTTTTCTTCCTATATTACTAATATTAATAGTTTCTTTTTGAGATAATAAATATCTTATTTATTATAAGATCTTTTTCTTTAGAGACATTATTATATATTATAGTAGTAAATATAATATCTAGTATTTTATTAATGAAATAATTTATTAAATTACTTGGCCAAAGAAGTCCTATTAGAGATTCTTTTATACCTGTTAAAAGAAATATTATAGCTTTAATATTTCTTGCTTAATAATACTAGACAGGTTAATATCTTTAATCTCTGAATTATATAAGGAAAAGAAAAATAATTAGTAAATATATCTCGATTCTAGTATACTAGGAAAGCTCTATTATTTCCTCTCTAATCTCTCTATTAATAAATATTCGAAAATATTCGAAAATAAGAAATATAATAGTAATTTCGGTATAATTAGTATATATAAAAGAAATCGAGTCTATAGTATTTTAATACTTTCTAAAAAGGAGTTTAATAAAGATATAGTAATAATAAGGGTAATAGTTAAGGATATCTTTATTATAATAGTTAATAAATAGTATTAGAATAATAAATAAAAGATAATAAGAATAGAAGTAATTACTATAAGCCTAATATATATAATATTTATTTTCTTAACTAATATTATAATATATTTAACTTATAGAAATTAAATAAATATTTACTTTAAATATTTACTACTAACTATTAAATAGTATTTATATAGTATTTAGGATATTATTTTAGAAATACTTAATTAGAAATAGTTTTATTTAATTATTTTTAAATTCGCTTTATTTTATATATGAAATCGGCTAAAATAAAGAATAATTAAACTAATAATTTTCTATATAGCTATAATAAAGATATTAATATTTATATAAGATTTACTTTAATATTCTTTATATAATTTACATATAATTTACTAAGTCTATTAAAGTAAGGCTTCTTTATAAAAGCTAATAAAAAGCTTAAGGAAAAAGCTTATTTTCCTTATTATATCTAATTAGTTAAAATTATTAAAATTATATAAATATATATTATAAGATTTAGTTAATATATTATATTTAGATATTTAATTACTATATATTTAATTAATTTATATAAAAAACCCTAGAATTTCTAAGAAATAACTAAAGCTTTAATATAAATATATATTTATAAGAAAGTATAAGAAATAAAGTATTCTAATATAAGTAAAAAAGAAAGTCTCGGCTATTATTCGAGAGTTATATACTTATATTTCTAGTAAAAATTACTATAAAATATAAAAAAACAGAAATTCTTAACTATATTCTTAGTTTATTTTTATATATATTAAAGCTAGAAAATTTTCTAGTATAGTAATAATATATTAGCTATAATAGGAGAGTTAAATATCGCGTGTTTTACTTAATACTTTATAAGAACCTATTTATTAACTATATTTTAATTAAGTATTCGTTTGCCTTAATTCTTGCCTTCTTGCTTCTATAAATTTACTAGATATATATTTCTTCTAGGAAATTATTCTAATACTATATGGCTATAGTATTAGTATTAATTAGGGCTATTATCTCTCGAGTCTAGAGAATATTAAAACTAGAGTATTATATATTAATTATTATTTACTAATATTATAAATATAAAAAGCCTTTTATAATACTCTAGATAGTAATTTTTCTTTATTCTTAAGTAATTTCAGGCTCTTAAATAGGCTTAAAAAATAGGTTATTTCCATTTATTTATTTCTTATTTTCTGGGCTAGAAGTCCTTTAACTAAGTTAAATTAAGACTAGACCTTATTTGATCTCAATTATATATCTATTATATTTCTCTTAATTAATTCGGGTATTTATATAGTCTTCTTATATCTATTAATAACTATTAATATCCTCTTATATAAGACGAGTAGTATTAAGATCTTTACTACTTAGATAATACGGGTTTCCTTTTATTAGAACTCGCTCGACTGCCCTAATTACCTTATAGTAAGGATTATTAATTTCAGGTTTCTCTTTATTAATAAACTTAGTAACTATAGTATTATACTAGTTCTTTATTATATGAATTCGACTAGTACGGTTTCGATTACTAGGAACGGGAATTACGTCTTATATAAAGTACCAGATACAGAAGTACTTTATAATATTACTATTCTCGATTTCAAGATATTAATACGGATAATAATAGGTAAAATATAATTAGAGAGGCTAGAATCTAGGAGCAGCATTTTTACTAGGAAAACCAGGCAAAAGAGCTACTTAACTAGCTACTAGCGCCCCTTATAATTACGGAGGGATTTAAAAAGGAGCAAATTAAAAAGAAGCAGAACCTCTATAAAAGTTAAATTCCGATACTAATTATATACTAGGCATTATAGGTCGAATACTAACTAGAGAGTCTATAGTTTCCAAGGCTTTACCTTTGCTCGAATTACTTAATAACTAATATTTAATACCCTTTCTAGCCCTTTTCGCATATTAAACAAAGCAACTAAGTAGGAAGTAATAATAATAACTAGGTTAGTTAGTTAATAATCAAGTTAGTAATATAATAGCAGAACAAGCCAAAGAAATAAGAAATAGATTATTGAGGTTAATATTATTATCGGGATTATATATTAGTTTCTAGGGATAACGAGATATAGGAGAAAGCAAGACAAACTCGTTCCTAAGATATTTAATGTCTTATTTATAAAAGAGCAATTTCTCCGGAAAGAATTTGACCTATAAACGTACTCCTTAATATAATCGAGGTGGAAGTAGTATTTATAAGGCTTGTTCTGGCCAAGCTTACTTGGAAAGCCCTAGGGATTCAAATAAATAGTATAGTAAAGTTAATTTAACATATCTTTAATAGAAGAATAATTAGGTAGCGGGAATAGAGTTTTAGGAGAATTAGTAATCCAGGGCAGTTTCCGAGGCATTAAGTGGAAATAGTATTAATAGAGGTGAGTTTTAATTAGGAACCGCTTTTAGGAAGATATAATTAAAAGCATAAAGCTTACTAAGTTCTATAGAACCTCCGAACCTCTATAATATTATAAAGTAAATAATACCACCACATTTAGCTCTTATCTTAATTCCTACTCGATTGCTAGTCTCTTACAGTATTACGAGCCTTATATAATATTAATTACCCCTGGATCGACGTTAATTAGCTTTAATATTACTCGATTGGGAATGCAGAGGCGTAGATTACCGGATGTAATCTCGACCGCCAAGACTACGGTTTGTAATCGATCTTACTGCAATTGCAATTTGGTGGCTAACTATATGGGGTAATAGGCTAGATTATCACGAAAAAGAAATCTTGGCAAGACCCACTTCTCCGATTACGACCAACCTGCAAAACGACCCTAATCAAAACATGTATACGGCATGACTATTTGGGAATTCCCGCCCCCAATCTCGCAATGTGGTCCTCTATCCTGCTTAGCGCATGCGTCGGCCTTTGTCTCCGCTTCTCCCGCAACTACTTAACATGGAGCGCTATCATCTTCGTCAGTGCCGTCCTCTGACACGGTGTTGTCAGCGGTGCCCTCCTCATACGATACTGCCAAGATCTGATTTCCAGAGTGTCCAATATGCTATTCCTGTTCTCCTGGTTCGTCTGGGCATCCGGCGTCGGCGTACTTCAGTTCTCGCTATACTGGCGGATCCTCGCCGAACTGCTCCGATTAAGCTATGCCGACGGCGGCGAAACGGATGAGCTGGGTAGGCACTGGAAAATAAATATTGCAATGTTGTTTATTAATTCAACGCTGAATGAGCTGCTGGATGACTTCTTTCCTGATTGGATGTGGAGCAGAGTTGTGTTTAACGTGGTGCTGGAACTGGTTGTTCCTGGCCATTGCCTTTTTTAACTCTTCCTCCAAAAGCAGATTACACGGACAGTGTGACTGAATCGGGCCATATTCAAGTGGCGAGATTATGGTGCTGAGTGCTTTTGGTTCGCGGCCAACCACCAATTGAACAACCGAGCATTGAGGTCCTGCTGTATACGTTTTGGTAGACACGTCACCATATCTACCGGATTCTTACCCTAGAAGTGATGAAACAGCTCTTAGTCAATCTGCTCAGCCTGAATAACATATACTCCATCTTCTACGGCTACGCGGTTAGGTTCGCGCGGTTTCCGCGCGCGATTAGCTGGACTTCTTCATCGGAAATGTCTATCCATTCCGAGTCCTCGTCGAATCGAACGTACTTCGGTGATTTGCTTGCTGTGGGTGCTGAGATCGAGGGCTGGGTAGATTCAAATTTCCCTCCTCTCGGGCACGTCGATTCGGATGCCTGGTTGACTTCGTCTTGCGACACACTCGATGCTCTCTCAGTCGCGGTATTCTCCCTCTTAAATACTCTTGCTCCGGTGACCGAAGTCCTCTTCCTCCCTACATTCGGCAATCCCCTCAACGTCTTCTTCGGGGTACGGCTAGGCTGCAATAAATTTTTGTAGCCGCAATATATAAATTAGAATCCAATAAATGGCAGGAGACAAGCATCTTTGCCCTGCTTTGTCTGCTTCACCTCCACCCTCGGTCCCAAGCATCCCTTACCCCCTTCCTCTTACAATTCATCGCATTTATGCTTCTTGTCATGGTCCAATAACAGCGGGTAATGTCTTGAGGCTCCGAGGTAGGACCAGTATACAGCAGGGAGCGTCGGAAGTGCCATGCCGTCCAGTACCGGCCGCCTCTTTCGCGGGGCTGGTTGCAGCGGGAGACGCCCGGGGTGCGTTTTGAAGTTTTTTGAAGCCTTTTTCAATTTTCCTTTGATGGCCTGTTAAAATGCTTGTTGTGAATAAAAAAGAGGCTTGTTGGCCGTGGTAATAGATATGAGGGGGTGTGGTGGGTGTCCTTGAGCCAAGTCATGTGGGTCACGCCGAGAGCAATGCGAGGCTATGCTGCGCTGACTTTCTCTCCGCCTCGAGACTTATAGTTGACGTCGAAAATGGGATGGTTGCACTTAAATCATCGAACCATAAGTAGAATGAACGCAATCCATCTCCCGAGCGTTTTGCCCTCTCAAATTCTGGGGAGTGTTGGTTCTGAGCCTCGGTTAGCGCAGTTGCATAGGCAGGGACTTGAGAATGGACTCACGATTTTTAAAATAGAATACGAGCCTCTAATACTGCCAGGGCCACTTTAAACTTGTCAATAATACCGGCCTTTTGGCTGTCTCTACTGCCAAAGATAGCGGATGCCGTTGCTGATACCCAGGTGACAATATCCCCATTCTCCTTCAACTCTATCGCTCTCCTTAGCGGTATTATCATCTCATGAAGCTGCCTGGTGACTTTGGATTTGATTACTTCCACGGAGGGAGTATCAAGAAGAATCAAGTTGACATAAATAATCGCTGCCAGAATACAGCAGTCTTCTAGGATTGAGGGGGCAGTTTTTGCAAGTAGCTGTTCAAGCTGATATTGGACTATGGAGCATGAGGCTCGAAAATCTTCCGAGGGAACGGCGTTGGTAGGATTTGTGACTACTTGGGTGGTGGTAAGAAATCGTATGGACTTCAGAATCTCAACCAATTTGCTGGATTTGAACATGGAACCTTCAGAGGTGCTTGAGGTGGCGGAAGCAGCTTCCTGCTCTGGAAAAGTCGTGAATGTAGCTTCGTTATCTGGGCTGGGCAATATAGTATCCATGCCAATTTGGTCGATCCTATTTAACAATCTTATTAGTATTTGTAGGAATATACCCCCAGATGGAATTAAATTCACACCAAATGATAATGAGCTTCACAGGTCTAGGTATTTGATCCAACCCACCACGAAAATTGGCCATTTCCTTCAGACCCCTTAAGTGATTTCGATACGTTGAGCGCTCTCCCCAAAGAAGCTATGGAACTTAGCACTTCCAAGTATCTTATTATCCTACAGGAAGGATTATTTGCTCGCCTCAGTTGCCGCAAGATTGATTCCTGTTGCCAGCATCATATCGCTAACCTCAAGTTTCGGTTTATTAAACACTTCGTTTAATAGTTCAATGCAATCTAAGGTTAGGTGAATAGCACGAACGGACCTGAGTTCTGGCCGTCAGTTTATATCTATAACTTCCAGGAAACTTGGTTACTTCCCAAGGAGTAAGGCCTTGGTGTCCTCTGAGAGACATTTCGGCTGCTAATAGCATGCTTTTAAAAGCCATTTGATTCTCCATACAAAGTTGCAGCCACTTGATGTGTATGTATGCTCCCGTATCAGGATCTTTTGGCATTCCTGAGTCGCAAATGAAAGCATCTGTATCAAAAATCAAACGAGGGCCTCTTTAAAACTGCACAGGGGCGGGAAACTAGGAGCTGTGAATGAAACAGAAGTTCTTACGATAATCTACTAAGCCATGCATATATGGTTGCATCTCAGCAGAGTCAATTGGATAACTGTTGAACGGATCAATCCTCCCTGCTCCAAGGATCGTTTTTGGAGATATTTGCAGCTGGCGTAGGAAGTCTCCACTAAATTCCAGTCTCTGACTTGGTGAATACTTGGTGTCGGGGTTGTAAGGGCCATGTGAGGACTCAGAGACACTCGAAAGCCCTCGAATACCATCTTCCCTTATTGGCATAGAGAAGAAGAAATTTTCTCTGGGAGCAGTGGCATTTCCTGAAATTCCAGAAAAAGACGCTACATTAACCTCCTTGTTGAATTCCACAACTGTCCTAAGTGTTCTGAGAGGACTAAGTTGCGTTGAGCGAGTATTGACAGCAGTTAGAGGCCGTCGTCTCGAGAAGGAGGCCTTCCTGGCATTCGACCGTACAACAGTCCGGAGGTGAGATTCCGGGTTTCGTTTACGCTCTAGCTCGTCGATAAATTCTAATGAAAATCGCACCTCGGTTGTATCATTTGGGGCAGGTGGGATTTCAGGTTCCGGGTCCATGCTGGCTATCTGTGGAGTTGGTATGAAAGCGCATTGCCACTCTCCACTCAAACGATCTCGCTCGCCTATCACACCCTGCACAAATCAGCAAGTACCCGCAAGAAATTCCAAATCCAATTATCTTATAATTACTCACCTATTGTTGGAATTTGAGGTTAGAGTATCCCGTACATTATGGTATTTTTCACGCGAAATGGCAGCAGCGGAGACACTGCCAAAATTAATCGCAGATACTGGGCAGAGAATGCGTTTAAACCGCCTGGTGAGTTTGTGGCTTGTGCGGCCGCACTTCGGAAGATCAATCGTACGCAGGTGCAGGCCCTAATGTTTGTTACACCGCCTTTGCAGGGGTTGCGCTGAAATGCCCTGTAGCAATGCGCTGTAGCCGACTTTTGCTTAGCAGAACTCAAGGCGGTGGAACAAACATTATTAGGGCCTGCACCTGCGTAGATACTGGGGAGAGCCTGCATTTAATCTGCTGGTGGGTTTGTGGCTTGGGCGGCCGCACCGCCCACACACTTAGCGAGGAGTCCGCGCCCACCTCCGCTCCCGAGTCCGCTGCGCCAGCCTCCAAAACTGTCCGCTCTTTTCCAGGAACCCCCGTAGATACGGGTGTTATGAGTGAGTGATGCGGCTACCTAAGCAATTGTAAGGATTAGCAATCCCCTTAATAACCGCCTGCATGACGTTTGCAAACTCCTACTGTAAAAGCCAGTTTCAAAAGTTTGGAGGCTAGTACGACATATCAGCTCATCGCTGGCTGTGGTCTTGTCAGCACTAGCGGGGAGAATTAGTCATCCTGTCCGATTCTGGGTGGGCGGATGTGGAATAGCTGTAAATCAGCCCAACTGCCTTGTCTGTCCCCAACTTCTGCCGTCGGCACTTCGCTGCTCTGCTGGATCGTGAAGGTCCTCCCCCGCCCCCCTGATTAAATGTAATAGTGGGTCAAAGTGCACGGGTTTTTTTTATTTGGCAATTGGACTTTGCAAGACTGGTTTTGCGGGGACTTACTATTACATTTATTTAGGGGAGGAGTAGCACCTCACCAATTGAGGCGCGAAATCTAGGATTCCACTGCCCAATCCGGTCGTGGGGGCGAGTCCGGCTACTCCACTCACTAAACGCGGGCGTTAAATCCGGGATGTTACTACCCAATCCGGTAGTATAGACTTCAACTCAAGGGGAGGTCTTCTAATTTCTTCTCTAATATGCTTAAGATTGGAATACGGTTGCAGACGTTAAAAGTGCTTGAGGTAGAGAGGTTTTTGTTTCTAAGAAGACTTGTTACTATTGCTATGTAAAGGACTTACTATTAAGGACCTTTACTATTGAGTCTTGACCAGGACAATAATGAAGAGAAGGAGCAACAAATGCCAATTATAGACAAAGGAAATCTACTTTCATGCTCTCTTCACCACTGTCTTCCTCGGGCAATCCTCGCTACCGGAAGAGCAGAACAAAGCAAGAGGAGAGATGTTGCCGTATCAATTGATGGCATTCGCCAACAGGACCAACAGACTCGCGAGAATTTTGAGACTGCCCGCCTCACACCCGACCTCCTTAACAAATTTCACATTTTCAAATCGCCGCGCCGACACATGGGCAAAGAAATCCATGAACTCTACTACTCCTTATCGCCCTCCGCCTCCAAGCCCCGTCGATGGTCTGCCCTCCTCTCACCCTCCTCCAACGCCCCTAATTCGCCAGAATCTGGGTTGTTCAAGAAGTCGTCCTCTCCCCTTCCGCCCGAGTGCGCTACGGCGGCGAAGTCATTGAATGGAAGATCATTACCAGTGCACCGAAGATGATCCATAATCTAAGGAACTTCCGGCTGTGGCTGGAGTGGTCGCATGGAGTACGAATCCCGCATACGGAGCATTCGAGTTTGTTTATTATTAGTAGGATGTATAGTTTGCGGGAGCTTTGCTGGAGCAGAAGTCAAAGGAATCATAAACCCACAAAGCAAAGGTAGCAACTACCGCCAGCGCCGTTCCGGAACCAGCTCTAAGTACCGGCGGCAGTGCCCAACTTCGCACCGCACTTCCAAACTGGAAAGCAGTTGCGAAGCCTGAGTGGCAGGCCATGATAGACTGCAGGCGGCTAGATGTTCTCGAAAAATCTGCAGCTGCTGAGTGCCCGCATCCAGAGACCTCCGCGCCCAGCCAACTTGGAACACTTCAAGGTCACAATACTTTTAACAAAGCCCTGAACTTAAAAGTAAATAATCTCAAGGGCTTAGTACTTGGTTTCCAAATTATTAATATCTTTATTAGATTGCACAATTTCGTTACCTCGAGGGGATGAAGTGTTTCCGCCGAGTTATTAAGCGAGCCCGGGACATGTTGGACGAGAATCAACTGAGGGCCCGTTTCGTACGGACGCACGTCTTTTGATTGCTGGCGTTTGCCAACAACCAAATTCTAGCGTTCAATACTAGTATTTGGGAGCTAGCTTTTAATAATTTATAAGTGTTTCGCAAAATGCAAAAACTCAATAACCATTGCAATTACGGAAGTTTCAGAGTAATCTCCAATAATCTTAAATCTTAAGTCTTATATTTCTTTAGTAACTACTTCCTATAATTATAGGGTATTATAGACTAATATTTATTTCTCTTCTAAGGCGAAAGTAATTAATTAATTAATTACTTTATTATAGCTTTTCTACTAAGAAAAAATTTATAATTAAAATTTTATACCTTAAGAAGTGCTATAAAGGTGGTTAAAAGCCAGCATCCAAAAGCTAGCATTTTCAGAACTACCTACTATAGGTGGTTCTGAAAAAACTGCGATTTGTATGGGAGCAAATGCGAAACACTTATTTTTGTAATAACCGAAAGCTAGTGTTTGATTACTGACAAATGCTGGTGTTTGAGGTTTACGAAACGGGCCCTGAAGCGGCAAATAAAGGAAGGAAGGAGGGATCCAGAGGCAAACGCTGCCCGGTTCAGCTCGAGTGGTTAATGCTGGACCGGCGAGTGTGTTGATCGAGGGTTGGTACGAGGGAAGAAGAGGTTTCCTTGCTTCTCTCACTCGTGTGATATAACTTGGCTAATAATGGACTGGGCAACACAAAATTAAGTGTGATGTCCAAAGCGAATGCGGCGTAGTGGGGCAATGGGCGTTGATTGGGCAACTTTTCTGCGGGATTTTCAAAGCCCTTCGTCGACGCTAAAATTGCAGTGCTGCATAAGCGAATCCAAAAGTCAGGGGTTCATGATAACACAATTTTAAAGTAAGAAGGTGAAATTTTCGTCAGACATTAACTTCCCGTCTAGCACAGCGAACAGGACATAGTAAAGTTATGTCTTGTTTGCTGTGCATTAACTATATCTTTATCCCTTCGTCCGGTGAGACATTGCCACATTAGCGGCCGCACATGAATATCGCCAATTCGGCCAGAACATAATCCGAATTGGCGATATTCATGTGCGGCCGCTAATGTGGCAATGTCTCACCGGACGAAGGGATAGTAAGTAACCCAAATACTGTTTTCTGACTATATTAAACCCATTTTTGAAGTATTACCAAGGGAGGGGCTCTTACCACTCCCCTGACCCCGGGCGAACCCTAACTAACCCGCACCCTAACTCCTATCCCTAACCTCCCTCCTAGGCCCGGGACTAGCCCTAAACCCTTAACTAAAGCGTTCCTAAACTATATTTAAACTATTATAAAAGCGTTATAGAACTGGTTCTATCTTGAGGCTCAAAAGTCGAGCTACTTTAAGTCAAAAATCAGGGAGAAATAACCTGGTGGGTCCTCATTCGCACCCTGTAACTCACCGGTGGAATACAGGTTAACCCGGTGCGCTGCTTACCGTGCAGCCCAAAGCGAAACTCGAGTTAGGGTGGCTTATTTAATTGGACAGAATCTCGCCAACTTTTCTATGGGGGTTCTCAAAGCCTTCGTCGACGCTAAAATCGCAGTGCGGCAGCTCGGCTTCCATGCAATTTCCTTGGCCCTTCTAGAATATGTCGGCAACCCCCGCTCGCCCAATAAAAATTGAAAGCTGTAGTTGGTATGGGGACAGTGATGTGTCCGCTGGAGCGCTGCCAGAAGGCTTGAAAGTATCGTAATTGCTTGCTTAATTAATTAATTGAATGGCTTGAATGCTGCATTCGATTATGGCATGTCGAGATGTGATCTGTACAGTACGAGTTGAGTGGCGGAGATGAGAAATGGCCCTCAACTCTCTCGTTGACGCTAAAATTGCAGTGCAGAGCCGCATTGCAGCCTCATCCGCCAATGGCTATTCGGCACAATCATTGCAATATTTTCTCCCGTCATTACTTCCCCAATTTCATAATACCTCTAGCTGCCTTCTACTCAAACATCGCCCCACCCCTCAACCTCCTTCTCCCAGTCCTCGACCGCTTCATCCGCTACCTTCTTCTCCTTTTTGGTTTCTTTCTTCGTCCCCAAGACCGTGAAGCTACTCTTGCCACCAACCCCCTTCTCCTCAAGCACAACCTTCCTCGCCGTCCCCTTCGCAACATGGCTCCATCCCCCTTCCCCTGCCTTCCCCTCATCTTCCCTCCTCAAAACATTGCTGCTCCCATCAACCGCACAAAGACCAACTCCCGTCGCTAGTTTCAATCCCAATACCTTCTTTGAAACAGCAGGTTTGAGCGTAATGAGCGCTTGATCGAGTTTTTGAATCCAGGATCCTGTATTTGAGGCATGAAGCACCACATCGCCAGACGGTAAAAACTCAATCGCAAACTCCAGCTCCGCAGCTTGAAATTCGGCTTTCAGATCGGCGTGCAACTCCTCGATCGTAAGTCCGAACTTCGGGTTACTGAGTAAGAAGGCATTCCACGGCTCCTTACTCCCTGTCACCTTCGCTGGCGCGGGCTCTACCATAGTAGTGGTTTGTGGACGGATCTTAGCGCACTGAGCAAGAGTTTTCATTGGAGCGGAGACAAAACGAGGAGTCTTGAAGACAACGACGTGGCGATGGGGCTCTGGGTCTTGACTCTCACTGTCGAGTCCGAAATCCTCTGCTAGGGCGTGCAAGAAGGCACGTTGAGGGGCTGGCATAGGTTTAAAGCGCAGCCGCTTGTCGTTCGCGTCTGCTGCGAAGACGCGAAATTCTCTTTCGTAAATCTGGGCGAACTTTTGGCTCTGGGCGAAGAAGGCGAGGGTTGCGGTCGAGTAGGGGATATGGTCGTTGAGGTGGGTTGCTGGGTCGATGTTTAGGGCTGCTGCAAGTTTGGCGTTTCGTTGAAGCTTGAGGCATTCGTCGTTGCAGTCGAGGGCTTTAGAGGCGTTTCCTGGTGAGGTCTTGGAAGCTAGGCATTTGACGGCTTGTTTTTGGTTTTGGCAAGCGCAAGTTATGAATGTTTTTGCTTGGCATGGATTCGCCTCCTTGCACGGGTAAGGGGCATGGCAAGGATCAGAGCAGCTGTGTTCGCAGACTGTTTTCTTCCTTCCACAAGGTTGGGTACATGGCGTGGAGACGTCCTCGCAATGTCCTGGTCGATGGCAAGATTTCTGGCAGAAATGAATCCCACATTTCAGTTTCCTGCCACAAGGTAAGCCACAAGAAACTTCGTTCCGCCAGCAGGGTTGGTTCTTGAGCGTTTTCTTCCCGCATGCACAGGGTTTCTCGACGAGGAAAGGACAAGAAGGGCAGGACTCGGTGTCGTCATGGCATTGATGTTTGATCTTTTGGTGGCCGCAGGTTGGTCGACGAGTGCATTCGTAGTTGCAAGGAGGAGGGCGAGTGCCGCATGGCTGAGGAGGATGCAGGACTGTTCTTCCGCAATTGCAAGCGATTTCTTCAAACACCGCTTCGAGACAGCTGCCACAAGGCCCTTTGTGGCAGAGGGATTGACAAGTGTGATTCCCGCATTTCAATGCCCGGCCACAAACTCGGAGGCAGATGTGCTCAGGCTCGACGTTCTCTTCTCCTGCCATGCGATTTTTCCGTTTGGCGGCTTGGCGTTCACTGGCTTTCTTCTCACCCGCGCAGCAGCGCTCTCCGCATTCGTGTCTACCACAGTTGAGAGTCGCGCGGCAGACTCGAGTACAAGATGGCGGTTTCTCCGTGCCTTGATGGCAGACACTGTTAGATGTAGTTCGACCACAACGACATGAGATTTGCGTCATTTCCAGACAGGGTCTGCAATCTCCAGCGTGGCATACCTGTTGACAGAGATGTCCACACTGAAGGAGCTTCTGGCACTTCTCCTGACAGTGAGGTATCGGTGCTGAGCAATCAAGTCGAGGTTCCGAGAGCAGGACTTCAAGAGGAGTCTTCCCGCAAGGACAGTGAGTGACCACGTCTGGCGAGAACGGGCAATGAGCTGGTTGAACCTCTTGAGGATGGCATTCCTTCTTGCAAAAATGATTCGGATTTCCACAATCAAAAGGTCGTCGACACTCAGCGCCACAATCAAACGATCCCATCCAAGGGTTTCCATCAGCCCCACTCTCCTTCTCATCTTCCCTCACAGAGCAAGGTAAAGACTTCTCAACTCTTCCACAGTAACATTTGGACTCAATCAAAACCTCACAACTGCCACAAAGACCCTCGTGACAACTACGTTGACACTCATGCTCTCCACACGGAAGCAGATCCCCACAGACCTGCCCACAGCTCCAGCCACTCTCATAATTTGTATCCAGACATCGTCTGGCGGTCACCTCTTTACCACAAAAGCAAGACATAGAAGGGCCCACATGTCCACAAGGTAGACAAGGGCCAGCATGGCAAATCAACTCGCAAGGATGCGGGCAATGGCCTGCTCTTGGCTTCGAGCATGTCTGTCCACAAGAATGTGGTGGCAAGCCAGCGACGGAGTGGGGATCAATTTCCTTCTGGCACCAACAGGTATAGTTATTCGGTAGTTCGTCCTTAGGTAAATTGCAGCCGGGACATCGCCATTGTCTAGGAGGTGGCAGCTCGCCATTCTCATTGGCTCGTTGCTGATGCGTTGAGACCTCGTTCTTAGACCAGCGCTTCACGCAGGAGAGATGGAGAACTGCCCAACAGGTTTTGCAGCTCCAGACTCGCGAATTGGGCAGGACTTCGTTTGTGCAGATGGGGCACTCGTATTGTCCGTTTGTGATATCTTCGTGTGTTCTCGTGGCTATGTCTGGGGCTTGTGATTTCGACATTCGGCGGGGGCGGGGTTGATTTCGAGGTTGGTGGGGTCGGGCTCGAGAGACGACGAGTTGGCCAGGGACGAACTCAGGAGCATCGCCTGCCAGAGATCCCTCGCTGGGTGGAGCAGGAGAGGTGAGTTGACCACCGAATATTCTTTGGCCATTGACCATGGGTTGTGCGCCTCCTCTTCTGCCACCTCGACCGAATCCTCCTCGTCGGCCATGATTCCCTCGATTCGAAGGTTGTGCAGGGGCGGGATTCGATTCTGGTGTTACTGAGGCGGGACGCATTGCTAATGAAGCGTTCGCAGGCTCTTGGTTTGGAGCTCTTGATCCTGCTTCTCCTCCACCCCGTCCTCTTCTTGGTCCTCGACGGTGGCGTGGAGGTTGACTGGAGCCTGTTGCAGGCGGGGGCTCAACGCTCGCCATGGTGACGTTGATTTGGTCAGAATCAATCGCTGTCGTAGAAGCCGTGTTTATTTTTCGTGGGTTCGACTGTTGAAAAGTGGCGAGCAGTTTGCTTTGCTGAATTAGTCGGGATTAGAATTGGGATGCGTGGTTCTACAGCTGCTAATGTAGCTCTGGATAGATTCGCTGATGTGGTTAACTGCGCCTTCAAAATACGGCGTCTTCGTACAGAAAATAAATCGTATTTGTAAGGGTGAAGGGTGAAGTTGTTGGTGAATCTTGAGAGTCACCCAGCAAGGCTGAGCCTTTGTGGCGTGTTGACAAAATTAGCGGGCTAGCCGCTTCCAGCAAGCTCTGCAGCGAAGAGTCACGCTGACTCATTGGGATTCATGGCCTGCAATTGCTCAATCATCGTGCATGAGATCTTGCAGGTGACTGGTATCACTGCAGCATGCATGAATAACTGCCGCGAATGGGAGATGTGATTGAATTGTTGTGTAAACAAACGGGCGTCATTCAATCAGACCAAAGGGAATCTTCAAGCCTTGATAGACGAGGCTACACTGAGTTCACGGACACACTTCACATCTGTCAAACGGGTTCAAGTAGTCTTCGAGTAGAGAAGCTGTGATCAGTCGTCACAGACTGAAGCCTTAATTCCAAGTCTAACAATTAAGCTCCAGTAGCCAGACAGGAGCCCATCCCGCAAACTGCAACAAAGCAATGCAAAGCATGCGCCTGCCGTAAACCTGGCAAATCTTGTATCATAGAAACAATACGATTTCTCCTCTGTCATTCCGCTTCATCCTCAGGCTTCTCCACAACTCCTTCTCCTCCTCCGCCCTCGTGAGACCAACTCCCATCGCATTGCGATCGCGATGATATCTCTTCAAAGCCTTGTTCATGCTCACACCTCTCTCACTCTCGGGGCCTTTGTTGATGTAGCCTAGCAGTAACTCCGCGCGGGGCTTATAGATCACCATCTGGTTTGCATTGTCACCCTGGACTGATCCATCTTCATCCAAGGGTTTGTACTCGATCATCTTTCGCACTGGCCGTTCCGAGTCGTCCCTGTGTCTTCGGCGTCGTCTTGGTCGGTCTTCAGAGTGGCTCGAGTGTTCTCGTGATGAAACTCGTTTGCTGCCGATCAAGGACATGAGGTTGTTGCCAATTGCATCGATTCCGTTGCGACCACGTTTCGAATGCTTCGTCTTCTTCAGGGGACTGCCAGGCGAATTGTCATTGGCATCACCTCCAGAATAATCTGGTGATGGTGGGAAGACAGACGGTCGAGACAGAAGTCCCTTCAAACCTCCAGTCAAACCGGAATGGAGAACTGGTGGGGCATCGGTCATTGTCTCGTCAGCATCACGGAGTGATTGTGTATCGACATGTAAACGCTTGCGCTTCTTGTCCTTCTTCTCATCCCGACTCTGATCACGATCCTTCTTCTCCTTCTTGCGCTCCCGTTCGGCTTTGGGTGCTGGCGTTTGATATGTCAAAGTTGGTACTGCGCCCTTGCCATACTCAATCAAGTCCAAGTCGCTGTGTGAGTTCTTCTCGAAGGTTACTCGGGCGAGTTGTCGATCGTTATTTTCCTCCGGAGTATCCTCAATCATTTGCATCGGCTCTGGGGCAGGAAGTTCGAGTCGAGATGCGTTCGGCGTTTCGCCGTTTACAAGAAAATCGAAGACATTGACAGGACTGGACGACAAGAAAGCCGCAGGTGGTGGAGAGGGAGCCTCTGGCATTGGAGGATCGACGATGGTGATATGCGAATTGTGGTGGTACTCATCATCGGCGTCTTCGACAAATGCTTTGTGGGGTACAAGGGCCTGTGAATGGTTTTGCTTGGGCCTCTTCTCCCTCTCTGGTTTGTAGAGCGCGCCCTGGTATTTTTGTGCTTCACTGATACAGCTCTTATACGTTATTAGTCAATATGTACTGAGATGTCAAGTGGGGAGGGTATGGAATATAGGGAACCTACGGTATGGGCGCGGTAGTCTGTTCCCTGGAAGTGAATCATACAGTCGAGGCATGTGTACGACGCGCCATAACATTGGCCACGATGAGGATCGAGTTTTTTCTTGGTGAGGACGTCTCCACAGGCCTAGAAAGGGGTCAGAACTGATCAAAATCGCGATAAGGAGCTGATGATGTTTCAAGGGCGCGTAGGAGGTGCTTACTTCACACGAAAAAGAGACCATATTGAAATTTTCAGGGCGTTGCCGATTTGTGCGTGCGAATTGTGACTCGAATGTTTAATGGAATGTCGTGTAAATCCAGATTTGGTGTCGTGGTCATTGGGAGACTAGGAGGGAGCGCGGGGAGGTAATGGGTGTTAAGGGGTGGTGTTGCGTGTAGGAGGTGTTCCAAGATACTTCCAACCTCTAACCCTATTTCTGGACCCAGGATTGCGGGCTTTGCGTGGGCTGATGCAAGGTCGCGTCCTCTGCTGCATGAGCTGCGAACCTGTTTGGCTGGAGGGTGCTGGGAGGGTTGTGATTTGCTGCGACTCTGCGAGATGGCTGTTGATGTGGGTGTGGGTGTGGGAGCGGGTGCGGTGGTGGGATGGCGAAGGGGGTTTGGCGCGGGAGGAGAAGGAGGTGCAGGGCTCGCCTGACCCGCGAATTGGGACGAGGGCCGGCTGACCACCGAGAGCGAAAGGAGTAATACGTACTTATGGAGTAGTAAAAAGGGAGAGCGAGCACAAGCAAGGGGCGGCAGCATTTGAACCTTATCCCAATCTGGACTGAAACTTCAATTGGCTCTGGCGGCTGCTGTCCCTTTCCTTTGAGTTTGACGACCTCACAGGCTCTGTGCAACTGCAGCATCTTGATCACCGTGCCTGTTGTGCCTGTGCCTGTGCCTGGGCCTGTGCCTGGCCTGCCATTTGGCCCATCTCGCACCATTCCACGTTGGCTCTCGGACTGGCTGGCCGCGGGAAGAGCCAGAGTGGCTGCAACCACCCACTCGACCCACGACCCACGGCTAGGAATGGCCGAATTTATTTAATTTAGGTAAATAATATTGGTCTGGGCCAATAATAAATGCATAGTATTTTTACAGAATTCATGGTATTTATGCAACAATGGTGCAAAAAACAGGAGAAACGGAGAGAAAACAGAGATTAGAAGAGATACTTAATTGATATTAAGAGAAGTTTAGATAATTGTACGAAATCATGTCCGCAAGTGATAGTAAATCAAGTGGTTTTATTGGTTCAGGGCATCTTCTAGCCTATTTGGGAAGAACACCTATAAATAGCTCTATTTATTATAATATTGGTGTAAACCCCATAAATTTATCGATAATAATATTGGTCTTCCCAAATCCTTACATATGACACCCCTACCCACGGCCATCCCAATCTCCAGCTCGACGCCCCTGAAGCCACTCGGTTGAGTGGCGCGCTGGATCTTCATCTCTCCATTACCCGCATGAACGCGCCCGCACCCACGCGATCTTTCCTGAGCGACTGAGCGAGTGGAGGAACGAACGAACGCACAACATCCTCATTTTGCCGTTCAATGCGCCCTCCTCGTCAGACCTACCCAACAGCTCACCTCCTCCAACAGCGCAAGGCATCTCGTCTATACCTGGGCCCATGTGCATGCACTGTTGAGACAACCTACAGGTGCCCGGCCCTATTCGATTCGGGCCACGAGACAGCGTCACCAGGCAGCCGAAGTCCAAACCACAGTCCTGAATTCCCTTATCTCGCCCTCGTCCCAACACCCTCACCATGTCCTCTCAAGATACTTCTACCAGCTATCTCCAGCAGATGACTAGTGTTGCTGGGACTGTAGCCAGCTACATGCGAGTTCCGGTACTGGTCTCTTCGGTACTCGATTGATTCCTCTTCTTGTGCCTTCCTTTGGAAATTGATTGCCGCACATGTCCCCCTCCTCGTACATGTGCTTACCATGGCGACAGGGCATCGCTGCTGTATTGAGCTCCCTCCTGTACTTCAAGCAAAAGTTAGTCTATCTCTCCTCACACCACCTTCCCCCTTCTTGGGAAAAAGAAATCTAAGCCTCAACAGAGCTCTCATCTACCCCTCCCATGTCCCAAACCTCGCCCGCACCGAAGTTCCCCGCCCCTCCCAGTTCGGCATCACAGATTTCGAAGAGCTGATGATCCCTACCCGTGATGGAGAAAAGCTATCCGCATTTTATATCCGGGCTCCGAAGGCAAGAGCACAGAACCTTACGGTTTTGATGTTCCATGGAAATGCCGGCAATATTGGACACCGAGTGCCTATTGCACGTATGCTCATGCAACGTATGGGATGCAATGTCTTCATGTTAGAATATCGTGGGTATGGACTATCAACAGGGTCGCCAGACGAGACGGGCTTGATGATCGATGCTCAGACGGCTTTTGATTATCTGCGAAAGAGGGCTGAGACGAGGGACCATGATATTGTTATCTTTGGACAAAGTCTGGGGGGGGCAGTAAGCATCCAGCTTGTGGCAAAGAACCAGAATGATTCCAGGTTGGTTGGGCTGGTGTTAGAGAATACATTCCTGAGTATGAGGAAGTTAATCCCATCGTATGTATCCCCTCTTCATCATTCATACCATATTAATAATGGCAGTATCATCCCACCAGCGAAATACCTCACACTTCTCTGCCACCAAGTCTGGGCCTCCGACTCTTACCTCCCTTCCATAACAGAAGTACCGATCCTCTTCCTCTCCGGACTGCACGATGAAATCGTACCGTACGTCCTCCCCGCTCTCCTCACTCCTCCCCATAATCTTCGAATGATGACATAATTTCCATCCACAAAACCTGACGTCCCTTCTGGGACTTGATTACCAACGTGATAACATACCTGACCCTCACCCTCTTTTACACTTTTATTCTCCACAGAATGGTGGGGAATTAAGCTAATGGGAAAACAGACCCAGCCACATGCGCCGCCTCTACGAGATCTGCCAATCCCCCACCAAGGTCTGGAAGCCGCTGCCTGCTGGAGACCACAATTCGAGTGTGCTTGAAGATGGGTATTTCGAGACGATCGAGGACTTTGTTGCAAATTTGGATACGAAGGTTGGATGATGCCCTACCATCATCACCATCTCAAACTTCAATGGCTAGAATTAAGTGTAAGGAATGGGGTTTGGGCTTGAGGATTTGCAGCATTCAGCGCGGCGTTCAGGGTTGGATTCGCTCTTCGGCATGGAAGGGGTGTGTTCTACAACAGAGATTAGAGTGCATTCGTTTACGAGCGATGATTAGGAAAGGGGTTTATGATTCATGAATATAGAATTAGGGCAAAGGGGAGCGTATGATAGCGGCCCTCTATTGACGCTGGTTTTAGAAATCAAGAGCTTGCATACCTGACACTTCTGTTTTTGTCCGATCCCTTGTTTCATGTCCTCTCATCCAGTCGTTTGGACATACCTCTCATCCCATGTTGAACCTTTCATCCGTCTTTCCACCCTTGTTTTTAGCACTCTTACTCATCTAACAGAAATAATCTTTCTTGCTCCGCGTCCAACCTCTACAAGCGCTAGCTTCCCCTCACCTTTACTCCGTAAAGGATTGGTATTCACTCTCCAGCCAAGGATTTCAAGTTCTTTACAAATTCCAGCCTTCATGCGAACTTCGAATATCAGTTGACGCATTTTGCTGCACATCGGCACTCCTAAGAAGACTCTACTACCATAGAAATTATCACGCACTCCTTCCTTAGTCGGCGTGTTTTGTTACTCATCGCAATCCTAGGAAGGAGGTTTAGGATTGTACTAATTACTATAGGTTGTATAGTCTACTACTATAGATTCTATAGTCTGCTTGCTACTTGAAGGATAGACCAGGATAAACTGACCGTGAGGAGTAGTAGACATTCTCTTAGGATTGCGATGTGCAACAAAACGCGTCGGGTTTTATACTGGTGAATATTGGGTGGAAGTGAGGTGGAAGCAGCATCTTTAGGAAATGGGCGGGAGTACAGGTGGAGCTACCGGACGGTGAAGCGAAGTGGAGGGAAAGAGAATCTCGGAAGAAAGGGAGAAGTAGTATTGCGCTGGTATATCTGAGTCCTTTCTGCTTATTCGTTCCTTGGATATTGTGTGCGTATGTGGCGAGTTTTATCGGAATATGTACTGTACTAGGGAACACGCCGAACTCTCTTCGTAACATGTAGTCGCCTATCCAAGTATGTCACACATGTTAGAGGAGCAGGTGGCAGAAGATGAGAGAATAGTAGAACAGACAAATGAATTCTTTGCTTTAGACTCGACTCGTGTTTATCTACAAGGCCGCATATTCGACCCCCAATGGCAGCATCCATCATATTGCCACCTGTGCACTTCCCGTTCCAACCCAGTTCTGTGCATTCTTACTTACTGACTCGGAAGCTCCGAATGTACCGCTCCATTCTGCAGCCAGCTCCGAGAAAGACACATCTCCCACCCCAGCAGAAATAAGGAGCCTAAAAAGCCATCTCCTTCTTGATCTCCGCAATCGCCAACCCAGGATTCAAGCCTTTGGGGCATGTCCGCGAGCAATTCAAAATAGTATGACACCGATACAAACTCATACTATTATCCAGGGCCGCCTTCCGCTCCTCCTTCTTTTCATCCCTGCTATCCGCCAACCACCGATAACTCTGCAACAGCACCGCGGGTCCCAAATACTCCTCTGAATTCCACCAGTAACTTGGGCAAGATGTCGAGCAGCAGGCGCAGAGGATGCACTCGTAGAGGCCATCCAGCTTCTTGCGCTCTTCTTTCGATTGCAAGTATTCTTTTCCGTCAGGGGCGGGAGCAGAGTGTTGCAGATACGGCTTGATGGATTTGTATTGCTTGTAGAATTGGGTTAGGTCGGGGACGATGTCTTTGACGACGTAGGTGTGGGGGAGGGGGTAGATTTTTGTATCTTGCTTGGTGTCAGTTGGGATGCGGCCTATAGTTTTCTCACATCAGTAATCGGTCATTCTAGCCTGTAGAGCAATTGAAGCATGAAAGTGGCAAAGGAAGGAGACTTACACAAACAAGCCAAAGTATTAACCCCATCAATATTCATCGCACAGCTCCCACAAATACCCTCTCTGCAGCTCCTTCTGAACGTAAGCGTAGGATCTACCTCATTCTTGATCCGGATGAGCGCATCCAGCATCATGGGGCCGGTCTTGTTCAGGTCCAGCGTGTACGTCTGCATCCGCGGCTTCGAGGACGGCTCGTCGGGGTTCCAGCGGTAGATGTGGAAGGTCTTGGTCTTGGCTTCCGGATTGTGGGAGGGCTCTTTGATCGTGCTGGTTTGAGAGGGAGATACGACGGATGCCATAGTGCGGACGCCCATTGGGGCGCGCAGGGTGGGACAGAGGGCCATGAAGGCGCGGCTGGTGAGGCGTGCTGCCATCGTGGAGGGGAGTGTGATGGTCTGATCTCAATCTCTCTTCGAAGGTGAGCGTTTCAAGGTCGTATTGTGCTCAATCGGTTGTGGATTGGACACTTGAATTGTGCGCGATGGGCAAGGGACGTTGTCGTCTCAGTTATAGGACAGGGAGAGGTGTCGTCGTCGGTGGGTGCATTTGAAGATGAAGTGCCTCGGGAATAACTCCTAGCTTGAAATGGTTTACCTCACGATTCTGGCCAATCAGAGAAGCTTGGATCGTAAGCGGGGAGGAACTCGGGAAATCACGTGCTGCGCCATCATCCTCGAGGGCCGGAAATGCTCCCAGTGTTCTTACTCTCTGCTCAACAGTACCTTATCCTTCCTCCGTCCCCCCAAATGGCTTCCACGCTTTCATTTGTATCTCGAACTCTGCAGCACGGGGACCCACAACACAAGGCGTGATTCTTCATGATGGGACATTCGCCCAGCTATAGCCTCACTATCGGTAGTAGGGATTCCAGGGACTCCAGCGATCCATAGATAGCCGACCCAACCACTTGTTTGGGTGGGCCTTATTGTGGCACGGCTTGCTTTTACCTTCTTGAGGCACCCTCCCTCTCCCTGATTGTCTACCATGTCATTCAGCAGCGCCCTCAGTGCTCTGCTATAGTTGTCGACATATATTCACGGGGTTGACATTTGACACTAGCGACTCGCGACTATCAGGACGCACTGTTTGAAGGCTTCATTGCGAAACTGTAGAGGATTGACAAAGATCTGCGCAAGAAGGCTGCGCCCGATTATGGGGAGATTACTCTCGAAGTCACCAGAGTCGAGACAATAATGCCAGGCCTGATGGAAATACCCCGGAAGTTGGAACTGACTGCTTATCTCGGTATGGTATCAAGTTCTTTGGCTGGGGACCAGAATTGTATTTTGATCTCGGGAGCTTAGCGCTGCCCTCTTTCACGTTTAAAATTCGTCAAGCGACGAGTAGGTCTCTTGACTTGACTTCACAGAATGGGCTGCTAAGTAGAGCGGGTTTGGTTCTTGTATTGTTCGGACCACCAGTTGTTTCAGACTGTACGAATTCAACTGCGACTTTGAATCTTGCAAGAAAGTGGCTTCAAAACTGTCTTGACACTCACCGTTGTAAACATGAGGCTGAAGAGTATTGGAGACCAACTCGGCTCATTAAGCTGGATAGCCCATCTGTTGGAAGTGTTACTCTCAGCTGCCGATTAGAAGAAACGGCCACGCCCGTGTCAGACATCTATATGTCCCTTAGTCATTGTTGGGGCCATCATGGTCCCTTCAAATTGACTGTATTGACACGTTCAACATTGCCAGCTCTTCTTGGAGGAGTACCGGTGCCAAAGCTGCCACAGACTTTTCAGGATGCGAGGTTTGTAACTCGATATTTGGGTCTAAAGTTTGTTGGATTGACTCCCTCTGCATCTTCCAAGATTCCCGCGAAGATTGGGTCCGAGAGTCATCCCTTAGGGGCAAAGTCTATTCGCAAGTCTTTTGTAATATTGGGGCAACAGCATCGCCGTCTAGGGATGAGGGCTGCTTCCGGCAAAGAAAGCTTCTGTTGCTCAATCGCACCATCATTGAATCGCCTTGGAAAAATCAGTTGAATGCGAATTATCATCTTTTTTCCTATCGCCACTCGGTGAGTGGCGAGCGTAGCGACATTCTCGCGCCATTACTTCGCCGTGGGTGAGTAGTCTAAGAGCACGTACTTTTGCACCGGTTTCTCCATTTTGACGCTCAAGAAGTCTACTTCGAATGCAGGCAAAGGTATGTATCAGAGATATATCCTGAAGGCCTACCGAAAGAAATGTCAACGGCGAGCGATCCACTCCGAAAAGAGGAAGAGCCGTATTGCTTGGTATTCTACAAGACAAAATCTCCTGATGTCCTGAAGCTTTACGGTTTTTGGGCTCGGTTAGGCGTACGAAGGTACCCTACTCGACATGTAGCCTTACAATCGACACCGACAGACTCACTGCCATATCAGGTATCGCCAAAAGCCTGCAGCAGATCCTTCTTGATGAATATTATGCAGGCATGTGGAAAGGTCAATTTCCACAGTGCTTATTACGGACAGTAGCACATGATAGAAAGGCCAATATTGCCCAGCCTTGTTCTTACATTGCACCAACTTGGTCCTGGGCAAGTATCAAAGCTGCCGTTCGTTTTCCAGAAATGTAAATAATACAAACATCCTTCGGCAGGCATGGCACGAGGATTTTGGCAGAGGTTGTCCAAACTGAGATCGTGCTGGCAGGATCAGATCCCACAGGCCAGATATTGTCTGGATCCATAAAGTTGCGTGGAATGTTAGTTGCCATACACGTGATTCTCCCCTTTCGGTTATATTCCAAGTAGGCTCTGCGTCGCCGAGAGCCTGCTTCTTTTATCAACTGGTATTCAAGGACATTTTGAACGAGTCGGGTTGTTCAAGCTCTCGCAGCCTTCGGGAATGGAGGTTCTGTTGGGTCAGTTTGTCTCAGCCTCAACAGTGAATTGGCTCGAGTACGAGGAGTTCGATGGGGATAGATATACCATCACGATTGTGTAAAGTCTCGCGTCATTCTTTTGACATACTCACTGATCGCCTCGTACCTCACGGCGCCTTTCGTCTCCTCTATCGCATGTCTTGGCGGAAAGAGTAACCCTGCAGAGTCACACTTTCAAGGGTTGACTTTAACCAAGGTCGCTCATCTTTTCCTTCCACCTCGTCAAGACATGCAGCAATCACAAAATGAGCGAACCGAATCATCCTTCTAAGCAGCTTGGTAGGGCCTGCAGCAAGGCTAACACCACACTCGACCGCCAGCCACCGATGATATTATACAGCAGGCCGCCGACAAGCTCGTGGCCGCAACAGTAGCCAAATCACCAGAGTATGCAGTAGCATTCCTCTACAGCACCTTACCAGCCACCGTAGACCACGCGTCCCAATCTCCCGCCTCTCTTGACTTGATGCTGCAGGTTTACGTCCAAGCCACCAGCTGGCTTCCCACCCATGTCTCTAGCGATAATGGCAAAGGCCCAAAAGAAGCAAGTGGAGATCTCAACTGGCGGATTGCAGAAGAAGCGGGTTGTTTCAATCCTCCTCCGCAACACGGGCACGCAGGCACATCACCCGTAGCCGATGTGTCGAATACCCGGTTCTCAGAAAGCGAAGTGAGAGAGAGGATGAGTGATGTTCTTGATAGAGTGCGGGAATGGTCCGAATGGAGAGAGTCGAGAGTGAAATGGACAATCATGGCTGCGGCGATGGGGCGATGCTATGCCTTGAACTTGATGTGGGAAAGAGAGGGCAAGACTGCTATTGCGCTAATGGATACGAGGCTAAACGTCTAAGGACGGAATTGGAACGAGGCGTGGTTCATCGGCGCTACGGTTATACTGAGAGCCTGTGCCAGGCCGTTGACTGCAGATATTGGTAAATAGATGAATGGATGCAAAAGCTGGAGGCAATTTTGTGCGGTGAACATGTCACATTTGCAGTCAAATCGTATGTTGAGGTAGGAGTGAAACTTCCCTCCCGGGATATTTGATGCTAGTCTGCGTCTGGTTTCATTATTTGTTACGGCTATCCAGATCAATGAATCTGAGTCGCAGTTATCCTTTGCTTATTCTTCGTTTCCATCTCTTCTTTCAATATCTATCCTGTCCTTTTGCTAGCTCGGTATCTTTCATTTCCATTCTTACTTTAGCCCTACGTTTAATTTAGCAACGGCTCTGAGGTGATAGACTTAATGGCCTAAGAAGATACTAAGGAACGGGGCTGAAGTACCTAAAATGAGCTGTAATGTTGACAGCCCGCACCGAAATACATTTCGGTACTATTTCGTCTCATTATACTACAGTGTTCGACTCTGTGGTGGTGCCCCAGCTACCACCAACCATTTCTGATCCGGTATGTAAAGGCGAAATACCCAAGGCCGTGCGCTCTTGACATTGAGGCACAAAGCTTGGGTGCACGGGTCTGGAAGACTGAACCAGAAGTTCTCCAAATCGCAATCTGGGTTTTCCCAGAACAGTTCCGTCAACTTTGATACCTTCTTCGTCTTATCCTGTCGACGTTCCTCTAAATGTTCCCACGAGACAATCGTGTATCGCATATAATTTCTCCATTCCTGAGGGCTAGGGTAGATGCTGCAATTGGTAGAGTGATATTGAAACCCTACCACTGTATCCGCACGTTTTGCAGTGAAGGAGAATCGAAGAAAGATGCCGTGAAAGATTACTTCTCCAGCGCTAAATAGATGCAATGTGCTTTTTGGATACAATCGAAAAACCCTGTTTCCTTCTAGCCAATAGTTGTACGTATAAATTTCTTTCAGAGAGATGTCAGGACTTAACGAAGCAATCCCGTATATCTCAAAAGGTAGATACCTCGGCCTTGAAACATTATACTCTAGGACATCCAGTGCACTATCCCTTTTGAGATATATTGTGACGAACTTCTCAACCCAGCCTTCAGGAACATGTGATTCGAGTTCTGGATCTTTCTTGTGAAAAATAAATTCTTCTGGAACAGTTCGAATGGGGATGCTGCTTGGTGGTCTCCAGAAATCATCGCCAGCTTCAATCACCTTGTTTCGCAGAGGTATCAAAGGAATCACGAATACGGCTTTCCCGTCCGTGCACTCTATTCCTGCGTAGACGAAGTCTAAGCATGATCCGTTAGTCCACACGGGGAGACGTATTTGCAAGCCTTTGTTGGTTATCTGGCTGGGAGAGTTGAACTGCGAAACAGTAAAGGGGACTAGATTGCGACAACCATCGAAATCGGCCAGTGATCGAGCAAGAATACCACTGAAGTCTTGATCCAGCGGCAAGTCGAGGCCCCAAGCCAATATCGTTTGGTCTTGTGTTTGCTTCACTATTTCCTCCTGCAGTCTAGTGAATGCCTTTTCTCCTTCCCCGTACAACAGTGGCATGTTGACTTCAAAAATTCCCAACAGACAGTACGCAATGTCCTCCCGTCTTGTGGTTTTCCTGTGAGATACCCATGCCATTTTTTGAGCAATACTAGCTTTCGGAACTCTGTGGCCGGAACTATAATGGGCTGGTATACCTGTGATATTCGAAAGAAGGCTGGGGATTTCAGTCTTTTTGTGTAGTCTGGTCCAATTTTGATCGAAAAAAACTAGTTCAGTTGGCGCCAGCAGTTCTTGAAGTGTCCAGCCCCTTGTAAACCAGCGGCTCTGTCGAAAAGCTGAATCCTCATTTGCAATGTTTCCCGCAGGCGGAACGTCAGAAAGAAAGGCGTAGCAGAGTATAGTGTTTTGATACCATCGCAACATTGAGTTGATGGCCTCAGAAAGCTCTGCGCCGCTCGTTTTATCAATACAACACGTGTCGGCCCATATGTAGTCGATATTACTTGATCGAGCCTGGTGGCAGCAACTGACAATTTTGGCGTAGCCAGATTTCTGCTGAGTCGTTTCCCTCTCATGGTCCGCGAACGTCCCTGCCATACTGTTGCCAAAGTGCTTTTCCAAGTCTCGACGAAGGTAAAGTTTGGTCCATTCATGCAAGGTCACTTCCTCCTTGCCCCAAGTACCAGACAAAATAGCGTATGGAGGAATATCTTCGTTAAAATACTCCTCCAATCTCATTGTGCGAACGTTGATAAGCCGCGTAGTTTCGAATTTATGTTAGGCAGCGTAAAAAGGTGGATAATAGTCCAAAGGCGGAGAGTGCTTGCCTTCCAATAGAAAAAGAAGAAAAAAAGCGAGAGATCTTCAGGAGAGAAAAGCCCGAGCGGTGATGAGTAAGATTGGGTTTGGCCTTAGGTTGAAATTAACGCCAACGAGTATTGGACTGTTCTCGGAAATATAAGGCCACCCTTCAGCCTTGCTTCTGTAGCAATGCGGGGTCAACGCCAGAGTAACCAAATCCTGCACGAAAGCCCGCACTTGTCTTATTCAGCCATCTGAGACCACGTGTACATATTAGTATTCTTATTTTCTGCCGGAAAGAGAGGGGTTAACCACCCAATTTGCTTAAAGGGGTTCGCTAAACGCCGCTTAGCGAAAGCCCCGGACTGGTGGTGGATCAAAAAAGCAGCACTGGATTTACATGTCCCAAGTCCGGTTAGAACATTTTTTCTTTCTTTGGAAATCTCCCTTCTAATATTCCCTCGACTAATGGTAGAATTAAGGTCTCCTCCTTCGACCATCTGGGAAATTCCGAAGCATGATATTCGTGCCTCTCCGAGTCGAACTGAAATGAACGACTTTGACCCCAGACATTGAGAGTTAAGTGCCCCTATTTTTGTCCACCGCGCGGCCCCCTCTCTCAACGACCCCTAAGTGCTATATTTTATTAGATACAATAACTTTCGCGGGGGCTTAAATCACTAATACTGGAAATTGCATGTTTATTAAAGAGCACAATCATCGATCTTTACACATGTAATCTAAAGAAAAGTCATTTCGCAGGCAAAATTGTGCCTATGCAATCACCGAACCCCACCCCATTCCCAGCATACGCACTCAGGCTCACCGCGTCACCATCATCAAAATACATCTTTCTCTCCATTTCACCCTTTGCATTCTTAACCTCCACCCCTCCCTTTGCAACTATCTCTAACAAACACCCATTCTCCCCAACTTTGTCTCCCGAAATTGTGCCTGTGACGAGCAAGTCTCCCGTCCGTAGAGAACACCCATTCACAGTCTGCTGCGCCACCAGATCTCTCAGTGTCCAATATAAGGACGAGAACTTCGATGTGCAGATTACGGTGGACTCATTTGCATCTTTTGATTGCACCTCTGCTTTGAGCTCGATTTCAAACGTTGGCAACGGATCTGGATCTTGAAGATATGCAGGCAGAACTATTTCTGGATTCCGAGGCGCTGCTGGAATTTTGCAGGGCTTTAAGGCGTCAAGAGTGATGACCCAAGGAGAGATGGTGGTTGCAAATGACTTGCCATGCAAGGGTCCTAGAGGTGTCATTTCGAGACCTTGGATATCGCGCGCTATTATTCATCAGCATAACCCATCTAGTCTTGTCACCTCATTGAAGCGCTAAAAGAAGAGGGCTGAACGCACCACTCCAATCATTAACCAAAACACACCCAAAAATATACGTATCCGCATCTTCAATACCAACGGGTTCTCCTAGCACACTGGCTTTCCCAACCACAGCGGCAACCTCAAGCTCATAATCCAACTTCCTCGTCGCTCCGAACACCACCTTCCCCTCATCCCTAAACTGCCCTTTCGGCCTCACAATCTCCGTCCCTGAAACAACAATCGTAGAACTTCGCCCATGGTAACCTATAGGGAAATACTTGAATCCAGAAGGCAGGTTGCGTTTTCCAAATACGGCTTCAGACGCGTTGAGCACGTGTGAACGAGAGCAGGAGAAGTCGGTGAAATCTCCGATTGCGAGGGGGAGGTGGAGGGTTATGGATATGAGGGGAGAGGCGGTTGATGGTGGCAGGAGGGAGGGAGAGGTGAGGTGGGATTGTATCCATTTTCGCGTCGCAAGGTGAGTGTATTTGGGGAGGGAGGGAGGCGAATGGGTTGAGGGTTTCCTTTGAGTGTAAGTTGGACGTTTATTGGAAAAGAGATTGGAGGAACTTACGTGTGAGAATGTTGCGATTGTCGAAGATGGAATGGAGGGATCGTAGATGGCTAATTCGTCCAGGAAAATTACGGTGTCTTCAAGGCGTGTTGCTACTGCTTTCTCAGGATGAGATGCAGAACTTGCGATCCCGAACGGGATGTTGTTTATGGAGAAGTGATGGGAATACATCGTGAGATCGATCTCGAGTGTCGAAATGAGGTCAAAAGAACAACCTAGCTAAGGCATTAAGAGAAATTGATTTCCGTATGCGCTTATGAGGAAAAGCTAGACTTCCATCTCTGAACAATCCAGGCGAAAGTACGTCTCTGCTCAGCCGAGGGTCGAGACAAGCCCCACACGCGGGACGTCTACAATTTGGAAAGCCGTGAGCGGGGAGCTCGATGAAGGGGTGCAGATGAATTGAATTGGGTCGGAATATCCCCTCTATAAGAAGAATAGGTGGCTATGGACAACAGGCGCCAGAGAACGAAGGCGGCCGCCCCCACTGGCCCGAAAACCCCGCACCACTCGAACTACAGTCGGTCCGATCCAAGAATGACAAAATCAAAGAAAGCCTACTATAATACTAGTTAACATAAATCGTATGAATTAGAATTATCGTGTATCTTATAGTAATTAATTTCCTGTTCTCTGATATTTAATATCTTTAATACTATGGGAGTTACAAAGCACGTGATTTTTTATATATAAGCTTATATAGAAATTTTCGCGTTTTATATAATTAAAAATTAGGCTATATATAATATATGAGATTATATATAATTCAAATAATAGACTTTTATTACTTTATATTCTTTCTTATAATAACTCTTAAAATTTAAGCCTTTATTATATAAAATAAGCTTATAATATATAAAGAATTAAAGGGCTTTTATAGTATGAGGTTATAGTATACGAGTGGGGCGTGAAATTAGAGAGTAAAGATTGGTTTATTTCTAAGAACTAAGAAGAAGAGAAGGGTAATATAAGCAAACTGCAAATCATATAAATATTTAGAAGTTATATAATAAAGCCACATAATTAGAGAAGTAAAATGCTTATTATAATAGAAACTTAAAGGGCTTTATAAGTTCAAGTTTAATATTATATTTACTTAAGTATATATAGCTTTTATAAAATATTTTCGCGGTTTATAAAATTAAAAATTAAAAAGTATAAACTGTTTATATATTTCAAAATTCGATTACTATAACGGCAGGAATAAAGCAATGGAACAATGCTCAAAGATCTATAATTCCAATGTCCTACAGAATCTAAAGCTAAGGAGAGAAGGAGTGAGTGAGGTGTGGCAGTGGATAAGTAGGTATGGCCAAGACCACTGAAACGCCGAGTTTGGTTTGGACCATAGCTTAGAACCTTAGCTAAAACTAACCCGTAGCACCCATGTGACACCAGCCGTTACAATTACTAATTAACTATAAATTATATTAAAAATCGGAATAATAAATTTTAATTTGCCAGGTTTTATCTTATAATTAAATTACTTAATATTAATTAATTAGAATTATAAGTAAAAAGTTATTATAAGTATAAAAGAGCAACCGTTTTATTGTTTTTGAATTAGACTAACTATAGTATAGGCTAATTTAGTAGTACTAGAGAAGAAACTTCAAGAATATAAAAATTAATAAAAAATCGGAAATTAAATAATTACTAATATACTATGGAATTCCAGTTAATAATATCGATATTTATATATTAATAAATAATTCTAATACTATATCCCAAGATTAATATATATATATATATAGTTATAAATATAAGATTAAGAGTTTATTTCTCGTAATTCTTATATATATCCTTAGTCCGGACTTACTATGGCACTTATAATACTCGTGCATAACCAACAAATAATCTTTAGTGCCATGAGATCATTAATTCATCGTGATTTTGCATATAAAATGCGACTAATTTAATGTTAGGGTGGGAAAATCGGAAATTCGCGAGTTTCTTCCCTAGCGTTCTTAAATTCAAGTAAGGACGGGAACCCATAAAGAGGTGACAAGTTCATGGAGTAACCCGATATCAATTGATTTTGGTCGTCGTTTCCGGATCCGATGTCTCATTGTCACAGGCTGCCAACAATGAAAACTCTGCATAGACCATTATATTGTCCATTATCTTTATAGTCATGTTAAGGTCTATGGATACAACGTCTTACTTTCCTGCACTTTAACTCTTATCTGAAGTTGCAAATTGTAACGAAAGAACCATCTAAACACTCCCCACCACTGCATCTAGTGACAAATCAAATTGAAAGAACAAAATGACATTAAGTCCACAGATCACCCTTTAAACCGCACGGTTAGGGTGCCAACCCAGGCGCTTTGACAGCGCAATAGTCGACATGGCCACCCCCGAAGTTATTGCCCCAATAACTGGGAAAATGTAAAACGACACCCCCCCGGGTGTCGATTATATGAATCAGTGGATTTTGGAGTTTTAATAAGGCCTAATTAGTTGCTTGTACTTACTTAAGTCTTTCTCTCGAATCAGATTTCCTAATATAGGTATAAGGAAGTTTATATATAAGAGCTCTAATTTGGGGCGTGGAACAGGCAAGGCGATAATTGCGCACGAGGTAAATTAGTTCCAGGCGCTTGATCGCTAAATTTTCAGGCTCTCATAGTGCCTTAAAAATTCCGACTTTTCTTACCTTCTTTAAATTTTTTGGTGTTCCTCTCTGCTTTAGGTTAGTCCGGGGTCGATTTACATTTTCCCCAATAACTGGGGAAAGGATGCTCCACACCAGCGCTTCCAAAAACAGCCCAACTCAGAATAAAGACGCAAACTTGCGTTCCCCTATCGAGACCCGCCGACAAGATGTAGTTATACTTCATATACCAGTCAGGGTAATACCTGCGGACATAGTACTGGGTAACCAGCGCAATGCCAAAGTAAATCATGACCGAAGAGTTGATGCCCACGCATAGGTATCCCAGATACCAGCAGAGGATGGGAGCATTGATGGCAAAGAGTGCTTTGGAGATCTTGTTGCTGGGGAGGAATTTGTAGAGGAAGTATTGCGGGAGAGGAACCAGGAAACCGATGAGGAAGGCCATCAGCACCCACTGGTATCGACCGCCGACGACGAATAGTTCCTTTGCGAGAGCTCCCCATGCAATAGCCTGTGCCAAAGTAATCAATAAGATGGTTTAAATGGATGGTAGCAGCCGGGGCGCCTACCTGTGAATTGTATGACTGAATAACTTGACCGGACCAGACGTTGGTGCCTTCAATTGAAAGCAAGATTTCACGACGGTTGTCAGTGACAGTCTCCCTGATCGCGAAGTTGAGAATGGCCCCAATAAGCGTGCCGAGGATCTGCATCGTGAATGTCGCCTTGGGAGAGAGCTTCATGTATTGCCCGAGCTTCAAGTCCGAAAGGAGCCCCAAAGCTTGGGTGATGGAGTTCGAGCCGTAAAGGGTGAAATACATATTTGCCAGCGGTTTTCCCGGGTTGATGAAAGCCCCAATCATCTGGATGAGATTCTGTTGTCCGACGTACATTCCGAATCTAGCAGTTTGAATGCCCATGAAGAGAGTGAAGACGAATGACAGCAGGATACTGACAATGTATGCATACCACGGAAGGGTGGACTTCGCTTCGTAAATGCAGATCATTCCGACAGTGAAGGAGAGAACCATGATTGTGGCGTACCACCAACCGGGGACTTCATCATACTCGAGCATGAGTTTGTAGTGAGGGTCGAGGCCCGGGTCGCTCTTGTCGGGCTTCTCTTGTTTTCCATCCCAAAACTTCCAGTGCCACAATGATGGCCTGATGGCCTTCTGCAAAACGTTCTTGGTGAAGTCGTTGCAGATGATAGCCAGATCTGAGATGTGGTAAAGGAACATATAAGTGATTGTTGCTGTTGTACCCAAGTTGTTGGTGAGCAGTGACGATGCATAGGTTGCCGCAAACCACGGCAAACCATAATCTGCAAGCATGGAAGGATCAAGTTCCGATGCGTCGTTGAGAATTGTCGTCTGATTGTATCGATCAAAATGAGAGAAGTTTGATCTGTCTGTATAGAGAAGTTGTGAGAGGAAGGGCATGCTCTGAGCACGCAAAATGTTCGAGTAGTAGATGCCCATGAATAGAATGATGCATAGAACGTAGCCGGTGAACCCAGTTAAAAGGGTCAAGGGAGGCATGTAGAGACATCCAGAACCAATGTATTGCCAATCCAAGCAGAGGCCAAAGACACCAAGTCCTTCGTTTCCACCCGCTCCACCGAAGAAGTTGGTAAACTTGAGACTGTCGCGCTTGGCCAGGCAGAAAATGTTGACGCCAACCAAGATTGGCATGATGTATTCGGGAATCCACTCCCAGCAGAAAATGCCTGCTGCGACCATGTAGAAGAACCTCAAGCGCAGTTGGGTCTCCTTCTTGTCTCTGTGTAGTGTCTGAAAAAGCGTTGAGATTGGCAGAGATCCCGGAAACAGCATAGCCTTTGGGTAGACTAAAGTCTTGCGTAGGAGACCTGCAAAGCCGTATCCGAGCAGTTGAGATGAGAAGATCAGGAAGATTGATACTACTTTCCCAGGCTGATTTGGGTAATACAGCTTCTGCGCTGCAGAGGAGCTCACTATCAAAGACGTCAGTGATGCTGAAAGTAAATCGCAATTCGAGATCGACTTACTGATGAGAATTGCGACGTGCTCCTTTTGGTTGAAGGGAAAGGGGTTCAGCCACTTCAGTATGCCCTTTCGTGGGATGAAGAGAGCCATGGCTTCTCCAAGGACATAACTAATGAGAGCTAGGAAGATCACAGAGACAGAGACACTTTGCGGTTTGAAAATATAGATGGTTGCAAGAACGGATCCAAAGCAAGCAAGTCCAGCGCCTATAGAACGTGAGCCTTCATGAAACTACTAGGGGTTTGACATGAATACCAAGGAAGAAGGTCCTAAATGTCCATGGACTCAGTGAAGTGTCATCATCGACGTGGAGGGCGGTAATAGCTAGTTCGCTAGTCTCCGCAACAATTCTGCCTGTCTCGTCGCGCACCATGTTGTCTCTTTCGTACACGTACAGACTGGTGCCATCGGAGTCGCTGATTGGAACTGAGCCATCGAGTCCCTTCTCATCGATATAGACGCCCTCCTTCTTGTCGTCTGCAAAGGCACCTGGCTGCTTCTCTTCGGCGAAGATGATCTCCCTCGAGGTTTCCTGAAGGATCTCCCTTCCGGGGTCCATGTTACCAGCTTTTGGGTGGGTATCCATCATGTCGAGTTAGTCCAAATCTTGCTACTGTCCAAATATGAGTCGATAAAATCAAACGAACCTAGGGAGAAGAAGAAAGGAGGCCATTATTAATAACTGCAGAAGACCCAGATTTCAAGGGTTTGGCACGGAACCGGCGCTTCGCTGTCGATCGCCTTGGGAGACTGCTTTGAATGCATCCATCATCCTAAAGAATCCCAATATGGAAGGTCGTCATTGACAAGATAATATCACACAGCCTAATTACCAAAATAAGGGAAGGAAGGAAGGGAGTGGAGAATATTGCGATCTTCAGATATCCTACTGGTCTGATGTATGCACGAGAAAGCAGACCTCGGATCCAACCTTCCGCGTCACCGTTCCTTGGGAACTGGATGATGTGACTGTCGTAAGTATTAGATGTTGTGAAAGGAGTGGGGAGTCGCGTACGGACACAATATCTCAACTTGGAAGGTATTTAATCTTTGGGCCGGCTGTTGTTGATGGCTGCGAGAAGATAACATCCTTATACAGTTCTTAGACTTTCGATCGCTTTCAAATCCACCACTGAAAAGAATCGCAAAGGGGATATGAACTGCTATCTTGGCGAAAGGCTTGATAACGTTAGCAGTGTGGGTCCGTTTAGCTCTGGATGTCGTTGAGCCAGTTCCCATGCTACCAATGGTCAACCCAAGGTCTCAGAGATAGCTTGTGGGGTTCTCTGGTCCTGAAACCCTGCGTTCCTGAAGCTTGATTGCCATTGATCATCTGTCCATGTTCGTCAAGTATTCGAATTATCTTATAAATGGGTGCTGGGCCTATATTTATTCAGACCGCTTGATGCTGATTTTGAGGATCCTAAAGCTCGGAGTTCCGAAAGGTGATTACCAGGAGGAATTACCTTCGCCGTGCGCTTGGATATTTTACCCGGCAATTGTTTCTCTCGTCGCATTTAGCTGGTTAAAAGCAACAAAAGCTGTGTAGTGGGGGTGGGGTTTGACGGATGAACGCAGAATGGGCATGACCAACTAGTATCTTTACCAAGAAGTTGCAACAGATTTTGCAGATTACCAGGTATTAACTTGCGATATTGAAATAGGAAAGTCAAGTTGTAGTAAATCTTTATCTTTGGGAGTTGCGCGCTGTGCCGGTCTCTACATCCCCACTATTGTGGATGAGTTGCCCTGCAGCCCGTCGGCGGTAACCAGCTGGAAACAGTAAGGAATACTCTGGATAACAATAAGGTTATCACGCATCGCCCCGAGAACCATCGCGTGATAGCAGTGGGGTCCGGGGATGTTAAATGCAAGAAACACGAGAATGGCTTCGTCCAAGTGAATCGGAGGATCTGTGCTGGGTAGATTTCGTCCCATATGAACATGACTTCGCCCGCAGGGCTTCCAATATCAACATGTCTTACTGTGTTAATACTATTTTAAGGTGATTTCGCGTGCGCACTGGCAGAAGCTGCAAAATCTGTCCAATAGACATGTTTAACACTGGCCAGCTAGATTGATACAAAGTAAGAAAATACGAATGTCGCATGGCAAGGTACTTTGAAGTAGAAACGCCTCGGCAACAGTAAATATTATCAGAGGTGGAGTGAAAGGGTCTTTGGGAGGGTGCAGGCGTCACAAGCCTTCGGTTAGCGACACCTTGCTGCTCACATTATGCTCAAACGACCCTATTTTATGGATTTGTTTAGATAGGAAGAAGTGCGTGAAGCATGACCTTATCAGGATCTGTGAAAGGAAAACCACAACGAAAAAAAAACCCCCCCAGATCAGAACTTTGCAGGGATAAATTATACAACCTTCAATTTCTGGAAGCTGTACTCCATCACCTGCATAGTATCTTAGGTAGTCTTGAGTATAGAAATCCTCAAGTTTCCTCAAGCGTGCCGGGAAAACATCCGGTTTGGGTCCGAAATGGGACGTCCTCCGCCTTGGGCGTAACATTTGCGGCTCCATCCGTTAGAGCTGGCAAAGATAAGACACTTGTGATTGTGGAATTGTATGGTCGATTGATTTCTGCACTAGCACACTTGTGCACGTGCGAAAAAGTATTGTTTTTGTCGAGCAGGGGGCATTTCGGCTTGCTTTCCGGCACCACCAGCCACTCCGCCGAGCACAAGAGACTGCGACGAGAAAGCAAATCTCCACCTCCACGCGTCACCACTGCTGGAAGATGATCTTGGTGAAGCAAACCCTGTATATTCTGAATCTAGTCAGCAATCCATGGTTCTTGGCTCGCACCCTAGAAGGCTCAGAATTCTCTGTGGGGATCGTGACACGGCACTGTCTTGGCCGCAAGTCCCACAACGCAATTGCTACCTTCCTATTCCAGCACAAAAGTCAAACTGATAAAGGATAACGATTTGGGAGTCTATAGCCGGATTCTAAATCCATCATGTCAAAGGGAGGAAGGATGAATACCAAGACCATGCAACTGGCTCCTGGTGTGAGAAACCCGCTACCTCCGCGTCTGGAGGGTTGGCTTCCTAGAGTGGGGAGAAGTGTAGTAGGCCAAAACTTCAAAATCGACCATCTGTCACCCTTGGCGATCAACATCCTTGAGATCGGTGTCCTCATTGCGGAGTGCCGTTAATGCATCTTGGATAAGAAAGTTATGTTTCAAAGGAGTGGTAAACCAGATGTGGGAAGTATCGGAATCTTCCTCCAAGTGCGGATCGTAGAGGACCAGGCCTTTATATAGCTAGAGCCTGGGAATCGTAGGCAACAGTTTGTCCGTGAACAGTCATCAATTATGAGTCTTACTGTAAGACGTTGGGAGGACCGACCCTAGTATTTCCCCACTCTTATCCCCGATAGGTGAGTTTGCCCTTATCCACACATGCCACACTCCGGCTTCAGTCGCTGACCCTACCTCACGTGACCGAGACCTGAAGACCAGTGACTTGTTAAGGCTCGGACGGGACGCATCATAATCTTGCTCTACTACGAGTACGAGAATATCGTTGGTAGTGCACAGAGAAGAAATGCGGCCGCCCCAACCCGGCTACTAGAAATGGCGTGGTTCCGGATGATACAAGTTCAATGCCGTTCAAGAAGCCGAACATGAAAATTGTTCTCTATCCATCAGTGAAGGCTATCTCAAACAATAATTCTCGTCTCAGAATCGTCTAAGATGTCCTAGTCTCAAGCCAAGCTATTAGAGAATGGCCTCCCTAACATAAATCGCTACATCACAACGCCAAACTCCTTTGGGAAAGCTACTATTTCCGAGGCGATTTCCCCGGCATCCATCTGTCAAAAGATTGGATCGATTGCAATCTTCTTTCTGAGATACACCACTCGCACATTTCCCGTCTCCCTCTTTTCATCCAACGACGTATCGTCTTACAATATCGACTTGTCTTCTCCTCCCGATTGTGTCAGATGCCTTGAACTGTGATCAAATTGGAGAGCTAGCTAAAGCACAGAGTAAAGCAAAATATAAGAGAGCAAAGCTAAATATAGGAGTGTAAGGAGAATCACATGAACAATAACCAGTGGAGCCTGCCTTAAGCCCGGGGTGGCCATTAAGGTTAGTGGCTGAGACACGTGACCCAGAATTGTACTAGCTGACAGATTGACCGTTCCCAATGGAACCGTTTTGAGATACGTTGTTATGGCACCAAATACAATTAGTGCGATGCACAAGGGGGCATCATTGGATTATGGGATTGTATTGGAGGGTGAAATAGAATTAGTTTTGGATCTAGGCGAGACAAAGTTGATGAGACGAAGTGATGCTTGTGTTCAGAGAGGGACTAATCGTGCTTGGAGGAATGTGGCACCAAATGGAGGATGGGGGAGGATGGTTGATGTCTTGGTGGCTGCCCAGGGAGAAGGGTTGGAGGAAGAATTGAATGGCATGCCAGATGTAAAGGGTGTGTTTGGATGGAAGGCTAGATGCAGTCGGCTTAGGTCTCCAAAGCATTTCAAGAACTGTCAGACGAGGCTGTTAAGGAAAGATTGAGGGCGGCCAGGCAGGTAATAAGTAGGGATTTCGGGGCTAAGTTAAAAGTCGCGGGTAGTGGTGTATTCTCTTCCCATGTTGAAGCGCCGCTAGTTCCATGGTGCAGGATCCGAATCCCGATCCTTGGATGTGGAACAATCCACTTGCTCTCACCACATTATAACCGCCACCGGCAACTCAGTCCTTTCTGCGCACCTTGCCGCCAGCTTCGAGCAGCGTATAATAGCCTTCCTTTCAGAAAGCCTCAACTCCGTATTCACATCCCTTAACCTCGCCATGTCTGGCACATAATCATCGATTATCCCTTCTTCCTCCGTATGTATAATTAATGTAAAGACCTTAGCTGCCATCTCGCTACCCCAAAGCCATTCACGTCTCGGATATTGCTAAAGCAGGTAAATCGCCTCCTTCCTGATACGTCTCTCCCGGCAACGAGTTGCAACATGGAAGAAGCCTGCCACAAGACTATCGTCGAAAACAAAGACAGCTTGTGCAGGAGATTATTTCCTGGATGGAAAGGTTCTAAATGATTCTCGATGTAATACACCATCTCCTTGCTTAGATACATGGGGGTATTCAAGCGGACGCCACATCAAGTGGCTTCTCCTGACCAACACTGAGTTGGCCCTGTTCAACTTTCTCACCTAATAGCTCCTTCACCTCGTTGAACTGGTAGGCAGGATTCGACAGATTTAGGACAAAAGCCGTGATGGACATGAATCTGTCCATTCGAGAAGCGTTAGCAGTGTGCTCCAACAGAACGGCATGATTTGATCAAAGAGGTCCAACTTACACTCCCTCTAGCACGATAAAACTCGCTTGATCATGAAACAAACTCCCATCATACCCCTGACTCAACTCATCAATCCTATAGATGCATCTCGCCAGGATCAACAGGACAGCAGTGACTAAGAGCCACGCGAAGACCTTGAATTTGCTAGGCAGTGCCATGTTGTCATTGGAGGAGCGCCAATGGCGGATCCAGTCGAGTGCTAAAAGACTAAAGATTGTGAGGGAGAAGACCTGGAAGGCGAGACCTGCGAGGGAGACGTCCACACCAATCTGGTGGGCATTGCCAGATGAAAGGCCTCCCCCTGCGCCTTGGAGAGAGAGGGCTATGATGTCGCTGGGAATGAAGATGTATGCGTAGTGTTTTGGGTTGGTGCGAGGGTAGCCGAGCGCAGTGATGCTGAGAAGTGTGAGTGAAATTGTCGGAGAATAACAGCATGGAGACGGTCTTGAGGATTCACATACCATTGACCGATTGTAATATATATGGCAGCGGTGAAAAATGCAGGAGCAATCGTAAGGCACACTTTGAAGTTATCGAATTAGCACAATTCCTCTAGCAAAATCGGATTCTAATCATGTTTCCGAGAGAGGTGTGTGCATACCAATTTGTATCAAGAAGTAATCGAAATTGAAGGGATTGCTGTGCAGTAGAATCCTTCCAATATATCCAATGATCTCTGTAACACATCCCAGTATCATGGCCCAGCAGTAGAACCACTGCGTGGAATATCTTCTGCTCTTCCAAGCGTGGAATCCTTGGGACAGATGGAAAAGCCCCGAAATGATGAAGAGAGCTGTGAAGAGAGAGTTGGCTGCTAGACTAGGTCTGTACTCGAAGACGCTGTACTTGATGTCGCAAAGGGAGAGAGTGCAGTTGGAGAGCGCGCCGAAGCCGACATAGCCATTGGGTGAAGTGAAGTTGTTCGGCATGGTAAATACTGGTCTTGTTATCGAAATATGGAAAATGTCAAAGGACAATGGGATGATGGGATTGAAGGCAATGCAATTGGAGAAATCTCGGCGTTCAAGTTCTCTGAATGAGGTGTTGGATGGGTGGGGTGGTTCATATATCCTGTATTGACGAGGGCTGAGGGGTAGGCTTGTGCAACCATTGTTGCATCAGCTTAACTGGGAATAAACTGTTACGGACGCAATTGCGGGACAGACTGATCGACTGAGGATAGATAGCGTGGAAAGGAATCCGGCACTGAAAGTGTATCCCGGGTGAGGCTGGTGTAGATGTAACTAATATCCTTAATCGGGTCGAGGTTGCGCTTGCCAATCACGACTCTTCTCAAAGCTGACCGCTATCCTAATTGAGTTCAGTTTGAAACAGGTTTGTTGCTGGTCCGCACGTAAGATAAGATCGGCGGGCTGTCAGTTGCTCCTACGCACGTACAAACTTGCCGGAGGGAAGATGTGCCGATTCCAAATTCTTTAACCGAGCAGATCCATTTCGCCCCTATATTGCCCCTCGCTTCGCTCACCACTAACGAGTCTGCGGACACGGATCTGTGGATTATAGGGCATTTTAGCAACCAACTTCCACTAAAGGAAAACTCCAACTTTTTAAAAGATGCTAGTACTCTTCTCATTATATTAAGAGAATAAACTATCCCTTCGTCCGGTGAGACATAGTCCACGCTAGCAAGGGGGCCTGGCTCAGACTGTAAAGTCGTACCTTTGCTTAAAAACTTATTAGTCATTTATCGCCTTTTCGCCCTGAGCCAGGCAAACAGCCTTTAGCTCAATTTAAGCTCTTTACCACCACTGCAATAACCACCTTATTATAACAAAAATTATAACATTATTAAAAGTATTAATAAAAGTAATATATATATATATAAAATAGTTAATATTTAAATAAGTAAAAAAGGATTTATAACCCTAACCTAATACTATATTTATAGCTACGCTACTCGTATTTTATTACACGCTCTTAAAGATGTCACGTGAAAGAGTAGCGTTCTTCTAGAAGTTTCTATTCCACAGGCAGCCGCGTATCTTCTACAGTACACTGAGTTGTCACTCAGTCGTTCCACTCCCCATCCACATCTCCATGTACATCGTAAAGTACGGAGGTAATTATTTACAGTATGAGCGACCACGCCAGTAAAACCCTTGCAGGGGCTTCCCTGCCGGGAGAGCCTCGAACTGACGATGCCAGATCACCCTCAGCATCACAAGCTGCGCTGCTACAAAGCCAAAATCCAAAGCCTACACAACAACAGTTGGCAGGAAACAAGACAGCATCACGCATTCACATACTTGGCGCCTCTGGCTCTGGTGTTAGCACCCTCGGCACGAACCTATCTTCCGTGCTCTCCCTTCCTGTCTTTGACGTTGACAATTACTACTGGCTTCCCACCAACCCGCCATACACTACTCAACGGCCAATTCATGAGCGCATCGCTTTGCTCAGACCCGATCTTGGACACGCTAAAGAGGAAAATGGGGGATGGCTGCTAAGTGGATCGATGGGTTCTTGGGGTGAGGAGATCATGGAAGATGTCGAGCATGTGATATTCGTGGATACACCGACGGATGTGAGGATGAAGCGGTTAAGGGAAAGAGAATTCAAGCGCCATGGAGAGAGGATTCAAGAGGGTGGAGATATGCATGAGGAGTCAGTGAAATTCTTGGAATGGGCGGAGGCGTACGAGGATCCAGGTTTAGAGGAAGGTAGGAGTAGGCTGAGGCATGAGCAGTGGCTACGAGAGGTGAGGGTACCAGTTACGAGGTTGTCGGGGGACCAGGATGAGTTGGTGGTGATGAAGGAGGCCTTGAAAGCGTTAGGGAGGGATAGTGAAAGGTGAAGGGAGGGAGAGGGATAGTCGGTTATTAATTATATTAAAATTATAGAAACTTATAACAAGAGTGTATTCCGGTTATTTTTGAAGGTATAATAATTCTCTTAAGGGTCCTTTTAGCAAGTAATTAGTTTCTTTTAGTTTCAAAGTAATAAAAAGTAATGGGAAGAATCTTAATTTTAATTTAAACTTAGTTTTGTAATAATAACTTATATTTAACCGGTTATATATCTTTAATTTAAGCTTTTTATAAGATAAGTTATTTATATAAAGGTTTATTTTAAGATAATAAAGCAGTAATTTAAGCCCATATCTGAATAGCACTTAAGTTAGAGCCGCTCAATTTCGTAAGGGCAGGGGAAGCCACGTGGCAGCCTGTCAGAACAGTGCTGACGTTATATTGTACGGCATTCCTTGCTTGAGAAAGCTTCAAAGCTTGCACGTCCCATCTTGCCTGCAAATTAAACATAGCTTAAATGCAAGAAGCGTCTGGTGAGCGCGCAACTATTTCCCCTTCAAGAGCAAAGCAACCCAGAGCAACCCAGAAGTATTGGTGAACCAACACGCCCGACTTCTCCACACACACTACGGGACACATTGTCTGCTGAACTTGCCTGTTATCACCTGCATTAGATTCATAGAATACAGGTGGGCAAATAATGGTTTACACGGGGAAGCCCAGCCGTGGTTGTGCCGTATGTCGACGACGCAAGATTAAGGTGAGGCCTCACTCCCCCTTTTGCCCACCCTCGATTCTGCACTGACGGCTGCACAGTGCGACGAAAAGACACCCGCGTGCTCATACTGCATCAAGACCAAGCAGAAATGCCCTGGGTACGAGGGCAAATTCGACTTGGAATGGAGGGACCAAACAGTGGTTGCCAGAAAACACGTCGAGCGACGAATCCAAGCAACGGAGCACGCCAGGCATCGAGAAGATTCTTTCGAAAAGCTATCATTGTCTGAGATTCATACACAATCAAGCCCGGTCTTCTCGAATTCGAGGCCAGTTCCGACTCCAAGGTCCCTGGATGAACTGACGACTTCGCTTTGAGCTTCTTCTTTGCTGTCTATGCACCGCCACCAACCAATCCTCTGGATACACGGGAACACCTGGAGTTTCTTGCTCCTCTTTACCCCCGAGCGGCGCCCCACTCGACATTATCTCTCTCGGCTATGGTGCTTGCAAGCCGTCTTTATATTGTATGGAAAAGCCAACGACCCGACGCACCCGTCTCAAGATCCCTGTACCTCCGCGCCGTATCAGCCATGAAAGAGCAAATAACTCAGGCAGACACTTGTGCTAATGATGAGATCCTTCTCTCTGTCTTGCTCCTCCAACAGTACGAGGTTAGTCAAAGTTCCCTCTCCGCTGGTGACCATTTGACGAATATCCAGACCCTTGTAAATACGGCAAAGAGAAGAAGTTCACCGCGAGCACATTTCGATGGTGCCTTGGCGCTAATAAAACACCGAGGACTTCATACATTCACCAATAAAGTATCTCAGGGCTTGCTCTTGTGCGTTCGAGCTCAGCTGGTATGTGTCTCGCGTCACGGATAGAAAAGAGTATTAAGGAAGTAGATTGAGGAAGCGCCTCGAAATTGCCTTCCACTAGAGGATACTTTGGATATCTGGAGCTACGTTGCAGCGGGCACTGATGTCTCGCCTGACATCCAACTCGATAACATCAACGTCGAAGTAGCGAATCTCAACGCTTCAGTCACTCAGGCTTCGCAATCGGAGTCGAGCAACCTGGACTCGATCAGCGCCCTGCTCCGCTCATCATCAGAGATAGAAAGAACTGTACGTGGTTGGTGTATATCAAGGGGCCTTCGCGCCATTTGATGGAGCTTCGGAGAGCGGAATATATTCTATGCTTTGCCTCACGGCAAGAGATCCTTCATAAACTCCGCGACGGCACTTCTACTGAGGCCATTAGCGGGCTAGTCGACAAAACGCGCAAGCGAAAAGTGATTTTTTGATTTTTTGATTTTCGCACGAGCCCCACCCTTGCCCCCTCCCCCCCCGCGCCCAAAACGCAAAGAATACCCAAAAAATCGCAACTTTCCTCTTCCTCCCCCCCCTCTAGTAAGGCCTTTATTTAGTAAGTAAATAAAATATAAAAGCGAGATTTACTTTTCTAATTTTGCGATTTTAGTTTAGGCTTAAAATATATAATTTAGCTATAGCCTTAATAAAATTTTTAATTAGAAAATTAAAAGTAATTTTAATAATAAATAAATATTATATTATTTTTAAGTTTAATTTAAAGAACTATTAATTTTATTATTAATAATATTTATATATAACTTTTAGTTTAAATAATATAATAGTTATTATTTTATAATTATTATAAGTTAATTCTAATAAAAGTTTAAATTAAATTTAATATTTTTAAAATTAAAAAATTATCTTTTATTATAATTAATTTAAAAATAGAAAATATAATATTATAATATTAATATATTTCTTTTAAATTTATTAAGTCTAATTAAAACTAGTTTATTAGTTAAGTTATATATATAATAAATAGTATTTTCCTTTAATTTATAATAAATATATATAATAATATATAAATAGATATTAAATATTATAGATTTAGTTTTCTATTTTAAATAAAGCTTATATTAGAATTATATAAATTATATAAAATTATATTTTCTAATTAAATAAAAAGCTTTATATATTTAGCTAAGTATTAGGAAATATATAAGAAAATATTTCTAGCTTTAAAAAGAGATATTAATTAGTCTTTATTAAAATTAACTCTTAAAAATTAGTTATATTTATAAGTATTATTTTAAAGCTTATTTATTTTAATTATTTATATATTATTCTATTATTATATATCTTATATAATTATATAATAATTTTTTAATTTAAACTAATATTAGACTTTTTAAATACTTTATATATTTATATATATATTTTTTTATTTTTTTATTTTATATATTTATATTAATTAAATATTTAAAAGTATTTAATAACTTTAATTTTATTATAAAATTAGTAAAATTTAATTTTCTTTTAATTTATATAATTTATATAATTTCTTATTATTTATATATTTAATAAAAATATATTATATTAATTATAAGATATTTCTTTTAAATAATATTTAATTTAATAAAATATTTATATAAGAACTTTAAATTTATATAAATAATTAATAATTTATTTATTTTTAATACTTTATTAATTATAGATTTAATTAAAGTATTTATATTAAAGTTATAAGCTATATTATATAGTTTTAAAGCTAAAGTATTTCTAATAATTCTTTTATATTTAATAAAAAACTAGTAAATAATATTAATATATTTAATTTAAAAAAAGAAATATAATATTTATAAAAATAATTAAATATAAAAATTTCTTTATTAGTATTAGTTTACTAATAATATATAATATTATTATATAGTTATAAAATACTATTTATATAAGGTTAGTAAAGTTATTATTCTTTAGAAATAGAAATTATAATATTATAATATTAATATATAATTCCTAAATTTACTAAATCTAAAAAAATCTAGTTTATTAATTAAGTTACCTATAGAATATAAAGTTATATAACTATAACTTATATCTTATATCCTATTACTTATATTTTGTATTTCATATCCCGTAATTATATATATAATTCCTAAAAAAAATAGCTATATTAATATTAAAAACTTTCTAAAAAATATAAAAAATAGTATCTTTTTCTAATTATATATAAATTCTCTAATTTGGCCTAATACTAGATTTTCTAAATATTTTATATATTTATATTACTTCTAAGGTTTTAGTTATATACTAAAGGCTATAGTCTTTTATATATAACTTCTCTTCCTATAATATTCTCTTATTTTATATATTTATTTCCTATTTTATTTATACTAGACCTATTTCTTTATATCTAATTATATAGTATTTATATTAATTAGATATTTAAGAGTATTTATTAGCTTTAATTTTATTATAGAATTAGTAGAATTTGATTTTCCCTTAATTTATTTAACTTCTATAATCTTTTATTATTTATATATTTAATAGAAATATATTATATTAATTATTAGATACTTTTCTCAAATAGTTCCTAATTTAATAAAGTATTTATATAATAACTTCGAATCTATATAAATTACTAGTAATAATTCTATTTCTAGTATTTTATTAATTATAAATTTAACTAAAGTACCTATATTAAAGCTATAAGTTATATTATAAAGTTTTAAAACTAGAATACTTCTAATAACTCTTTTATATTTAATAAAGAACTAGTAAATAATATTAGTATATTTAGTTCTATTTACTAGAACTAGAATATATCTGATTTAGGAAAAAAAATCTCTATTATTTATAAATAAAATATTTATAAAAATAATTAAATATAAGAACTTTTTTACTAGCTTTATAAATCTTAGTTCTCTAATAATATTCTCAATTTATTATTAAATATACTTATTAAATACTTTTATATTAGTTTCTAAAAATTTAATAGCTTAAATAATAATTAATAGGTTATATAAAGCTTCTAGTTAATAGACTAATATAATATATATTTTCCTAGTATATTAAATAATATATTAGTTCTTAATAAAGAAATCTTAATAAATAGTACTCTTATTACTTATAATAATAGTATTTTTTATAGAAATAATTTAGAGGTTTTTATATTAGTATTCCTATATAAAAGTAATTCTAGTAATATTTATATAAATAATACTTCTATTAAACTTGAGATTATAATTAGAAATAAGATATTTATATTTCTTAATTAAGAATTTAGTTTTATAAAGTTTTAATTATTTTATTTTTATAAAATTATTAGTTCTAATAAATAAAGTATTATTAGTTTAAAGCTAATAATTCCAAAAAATTACTTATTATAAAAGAAACAAGAATTATAAATTAACTATTTTATAAAAAGCTTATTAATATAATAGAAATAATAAGTTTTAAACTAGTAGTTTTTAGTTTCTAATATATTATATAATAGTTTTATAATCTTTAGAACTAAATTATTATTTAGATTTAATTTTCTAATAAGCTTATAAAATAAATTAATATAAAAATTATAATTAAATAAAATTATTAATTAGATATAAGCTTATAAGATATTATATAAATATAATTCTATAATATTTATTATTATAATAGTAATACTAAGAATAATTCTCTAGCTAATATATTAAATAATAAGTAATTATATTAATATTATATATTTCTTATTATTATTATAAGCCTAGATAACTAGTTTCGATTTTTTAAACTCTTTTTTATACTCTTATTCTTAATCTTATTAATAAATTAGGAATTAAAAATATATATCTTTTTTAGTATTTAAGATCTAGAAATAATTTTAAATATATTTTTTTTTAGAAGGCTAGTAATTTTAATTTAATAAGAGTTCTTATATAAATTATTATTTTATAGAAATACCGAAAAATCCGGGTTTTTATAAGAATATTTTTTATTATACTTTAGTAAAATAGCAGAAATAATAAGAGAAATTATATTTATATTACTTTTAGCCTTATTATAAAATTCGAGAATAGGTTTAAATTTAGGACTATTAATAATAACCTTAATATCTCCTATATAAAAGGGCTTTATAGAAATTAAATAAAAGGTAATATTACTATATAGCAAAGCTAGTATATAGTTCTTTCTATTAATAGCTATTAGCTTATATAGTTTATCCTAATTACTAGATTAATTAGTATTTTCTTTATATTATATAAGAATATTCGAATTTAAGAAAAGTTTATAAATATTAGTAATATTAGAACTATTTCAGGTATTTAGAGTATTTATAATCTAGTATCTAGCTTAAAGCTTCTAAATTTCTATTATTATTTTCTTAAATACTACTAATTACTATAATATAATTAATAATAAAATATTATATTTAGTTATTTAAGGTAAAGTACTATAAACTAAGAGAATTAAAATAATACTATTAGGTCTAGTAAAATTATTAATAGCCTTAAAAACTATTTGAAATATAATATTTTTATTAATTCTATTAATTTTAGTTATAATAATAAGATAAATATATTAAATTAAACTATAATAGTATTCTATAATTCTAATAGAATTATAAGTTTTTATAGAAATAATTTTAATCTTAATTCCTATAATATTTATAAATTAAGTAAATTTCTTACTAATAAACTACTTTCTAGTATTTACTATAATCTAATTAGAAAGGCCTAAATAAATATTAATTTAATATTACTTTAGAGTATTTCAAATATATAATATACTAATATTTTAAAGCTATTAGCCAGCTTAATATTAAGTACCTTTATTAATAATATAAAATATAGGCTTATTAGAAATATAGAAAATATTAATAATAATAAAATAATTAAAGCTAATATTATTTCTTAAATTAAACTTAAATTATTCTAGTAATTATTCGAATTTCTAGTATTACTTATAGTATTTTATAAGATATTTTAGAGCTTTTATATTAATATTATAGCTTACTTATTCTAGTATATTTCAGAGCTTACTAATAAATAAATAACTAAAATAATAATATAGATATTATAATTTAATTTCTATAAAAAAGCAGGAATTATAAGTAAAGAATTCAAAAATAAAGCTTTATAAAATAGTATTTTAAAACAAGAAAAAGTATTTAAAATATTATATTATAGATATAAAATATTTATTAGAAATAATAAGATAATTAGTAAGATTATTAAAATAAATCTCTAGCTTATTTATATTAGCTAAGCTAAATAGAAATAAAGTTTTTATAAATATAATATGAAATTATACTTATCTAATTAGTATTCTTATTATTATAGATCTAATAAAAAATATAAATCTAATACTAAACTAGATATTAACTTAATCTTTAGTAATTTTATTAAGTTATATATTACTATTAGTTTATTATAAAGCTTAAAATTAGTTAGAACTAGTAATTAAGAATCTAGAAGCTCTAGTATTAATTATAAATATCTAGGTATTTTCTATTTATTTAATAAATTCTAAGATATGGTTTTTACTTATTATTTAGTATATAAAAAAAAGAGAAATAAGGTTATTTATAAGGGTATTAGTTATAGGAATAGTAGAAATAGGGGCTATAAAAGTAGCTAGAAAACTCTTAATAAAAGTAAAATAGAAATTAAAATAATATTTCTTTCTTTTATTTATTTTTACTAGTAAGGCTTTAAAAGTA